ACTCACTGACCTAGGGGGTGGGATGCGAGAGAGCAGGGAGGCTTATGAGGGAGGCGATATATATATATATGACTGATTACCTCTGTTACACAGCAGAAACCAACACAACACTGCAAAGCAATTATCCTCCAATAAATAAAGGTGATACTGAAAATAAAAGGGAGATTCAAAGAGCTGCTGTCACTTACTGAACACTGCAAAACATTAGAGAAGCAAAGCTTTGACTTGAGACCACCACATAACATGAAGAATACCCAATGATCAAAAACCTCTACCCTGAAGAGGCCATTTACCAACCTTTCAGTTATAAAAGTACACTGTAAATATGTAATTAAATGTCTTTGATGAAATTACTACTCAACAGTGGAGACTTTAAGATTTTCATTTTATTAAAAATAGAGCAACAGAACAGCAGCAGCATCTGATAAATCTTCACTAGTACCATTTGGAAGTAGTCCTACTCACATAAATATACACCACCTATGCAGTACCTTTTTTTTACATTTTAAACCCTTCCCTTGATAATCCATATAGCATTATGTAAAAAATAGCACTACTGTATTAAATCTAGTTAAGATGGAGAAAAGTAATATCTAACTGCTAAACTGAACTACCTATACAACTACACAGTACACCCAAATATAACCTTCTGTGGAAATTAAGAGAATTCTGTAGTTTCCCAACGGTTTTTTGCCTACCAGTAACCTTAAATGGCAGAACAATCTCTTCAACTCTTAATTCTCTCAGCATGAATTTCATGAATTTGAACTTACAGATATAGTTAAGAAATTATCTACCTAGCAAATAGAAGTTAAACAAGAATGAAGGCAACTATTATTCTTATTCTAATCCTCAGAAAGGAAATCTTACCGGTAAAATTTGTGAAGTTTTATAAAAGTTGGCAAGTCTCAAAATTAAAATGTTACAAAGTAAATTTAAAACTCAGACAACAGACTAAAAATCTAAGAACAACATGTTAAGAAATGCTGCATTATATATAAACTAACAATTGTAATAAATTGATTGCTAGAAACTATAAAAGTACCTTAAAATGAAATAGAAAGAAATCTAGTTATTAGTTTCTAAATCCCACCTAGTAATAATAGCTCTAGCTTTTATTTTAAAAATTATGTACCAATCTTTGGCAGAATCACCAATAAAAGTGTATTTAAGAAAAACAAATTCACCCACAAACCCAAGATTAAGTAGGGAAGTGAATTTTATTTTTAAAAGATTATTTTATTACATTTATACTTGACTCCTGCTTCCAGAAATATCACTTAGCCCTTCTGAGAGCACTAACCTCTGAAACTTAAAAATCAACAATTTAATTTTAAGTGACTGTTACATTACTGAATAAACATGAGAAAATACTAAGTAAATATGTAGTAATAAAAGTTCTTTTAAAATCTTTAAAACACCCTAAGGAACATAATTACTTTGTGGAAATGGCTCTACTTCATAAGCGACCCAATTAAAACCAGATACTGCTTTCAATTAAAAATATAAGAAATATTTCATTGAAATGTTATTCAATACAACGCTCAGAAAGAATTCATTTTAACTGCCAATTCAACTACTAAAGAAAGATTTAAATCAAATCATCCTAAAAGACCCTGATACTGAGAACGACTGAAGACAAGAGGAGGAGGAGAGGGGAGAGAATGAGATGGTTGGCCAGCATAACTGACTTAACGCACATGAACCTGAGCAAACTCTGGGAGACAGTGAAGGGCAGAGCCCAGCGTGCTGCAGTCCATGGAGCTACAAACAGTCAGACTCGACTGAGTGACTGAACAACAACTGTTCCAAATTTTTAAACTTTTAAAAGCCTATTGTTACATACTATATTCCTTAAATTTGAATGATAGCTTCAGTTGGGACCAAATTTGCCGCCAGATTCGTTTCAAACACAGAAACCCATATAACGTATAAGAATGAATGAGGATACTGAGGATGACTAATATCACAAAAGAAGTTATTTTCTTGACCAAAAAAAAAAAAGATTCTAAATGCCAGTGTTTACTCTTAAATGTCAAAATTTAACTCTCAGATACTTCTCAAGATCAATGTAGCAAATACTGAATACCTTGGAAAATAATTCTAAACAGAAAAGCACAAGCTGACCAGTGTATTTTTTAACTATGTGTTAATTAGACTCAATGGAAAATAATGAGACAGCTGCAGAAGTTAAGGGTTTATACTTGATTCCTCACATGAAACTGGCGAGCTTATAAAGGAACATCTTTTATTACCAGTTAAGTGTACACTGCTGAAGAACAAAAACAGAAGGACCAACAGAATTTGTCTAGAATGATGAAGGGCAACTACAACTTAAGGGACAGAACATACTCGCCATGTAATCAAGCTGAAACAGATAACTTACAGCTGGCATCAAGTATAAAATGCTGTCTTCTTGGCCTTACCTCAAGTTTTCCTGACATCTACCTGGGGTGAAAAAGACGGCTTTAAAAAAACAATGAAGTACCTTAAAAGAAAATAATAAACAAATGAAAACATATCAGCCCTTATAAGTGAACAAAGAGAAAATCTTTTTCACTCACACACACACACACTCTCTCTCTCTCTCCCCATCACCCTCCCTTCCTTACCTCTAGACCCCTAGAAAGTTTTGCTTCCCTAAGCCTGTTTAAGAAAATGACTTCACGTTCTCTGGGCCTCTGGTATTCCTACTCATGCCCAATTTTTATAAATCAGTGTCTTTTAAGATTAGTATGGTTATCTTAAAGCTGAATAAATATCATCAGGAAGAACAATAATTGGCATCAGGAACCAAATTACATATGTTAATTACCAACTAACCAAACATTGTACAGAGTACAAGAAAAAACTCAAAACTTTAAATGACTGCTTTATAGACACCACACAAACATGCATACCAAAACAATCTCCATAGCTATGCCAACTAAAACAAGAACAGGATAAACCTAAGATGCTGTTTTGAAATGCATAAACAAATATTTTCCTCTAAAATACTTAGCTTTATTAGAGAAATGGTACTAAAAATAACAAAGATTCAAACAACATTTGTTCTATTCTACTTACATATCATAAATAAGAAGCTTTGATGCAAGACACACACTCCAATCTTTCCATATGCACCCAAGCATTCCTGTATCAAAATAAGCTGTTTACCAGCCAACCGTATGTGGTTGAATGATTAAAATGACCATTTATACTTTACATAGTAAAGCATTTTCAAAAAATTTAATGTACATAGTGACAAAGAGGAAGAAAAAAAACACAGTAATTGTGAACACATGAAGAGTAGTTAAGCAGCTTCATAATCAAACCAGGCTTCATTATTTGCAATAAGGGCAATTCCTTCCATTCTCCGCCAAATACTTAAGTTTCAATAGTATTAACATTAAAAGAAAACTCAAGTTGAAACCAAGTAACCGATGTGTTACTCAGCTCTTTAAATCCATAAGTAACTCTTCCCATGAGGTAAGGCAACTGAGTAATTTGATTGTATTAGACTGCATTAAAATAATTATACTTGATTTTTTAAAAATAACATGCTAATTAAAAGGCATAACTTTTGGAAATATAACAATGAAAAGAGTTCTGAAATATAAGTTGTGGTTTGGGGGAAAGTATTAGCAATGTTGTCATTTTACTACTTGCATACTTTCTGCAAAAAGTGTGCCCAACAATGTAGGATGACCTATATTTTAAGCTTAAGTAAACATACTTTACACATAAAACAAATAACCGCATGTACTCTCCTTTAAGCACAATTTCAGCACATCATTTATGAGAAGATGATTGAGAGGTAATAATTAAGGCCATCCAATGTAGACAACTAAAGGGTCTTGCTTTAAGTAAAATAAGAACATGCTGCTTCATTTTCAATTATCACAGTATAAAACTGATGGTCCCAAAACTGCACTGTTGTTTAAGTGCTAAAGTCATTCTTAAAAACAGACTTCCCTCTCATATTAGGTAAGTAAGAAGCTCTTCTGACATATCACTTTCACACTTTTCTATGGGAGGGAATGGAATACCCATCTAAATTCCATATGAATTGAGAATGACCTGCTCATATAAAATTCTAGAAAACAGTATACCACATTGTAGAAGGCACTAAAGCTTCAGCTTGTGCTCCCATAGCCCATTTTGAAAACCCAGCTTTCTTTTTATAAATGGCACCTTACCACCTACAGCTGACAACACACACTGCAATATTGTTCATAATAAGCTCGGAAATGTCAAGAAAGTTCAAAAAGAAATGCTTACTATGTGGGGAGGCCCAATGATTCTAAACACTGAATACTAATATGTCATTAGTATTCAACACAGTTGTTCTTCCTTTAAAAAGAGAACAGTAGCATGCATTGTCAGTTGGTTTGTAATCCACTTATTTAAGCAACTTTAATCTGTAAAATTATTTTAAAGAAAAACCACTGTCCTAAACTGTCAGCAAAAGAAAACACAATAGTGAGAATTTAACACAATCACTATAAATCCTGTGAAGTAAATGTTAAAACTTCTTACAAACTCTGCACTTACAAGGGTGTGTACATATTTGCACCGATTTCAAGCACATTATCAATCTGTATATATTGAAATTAAAAAAAAAGTAAAATAATACAAAATCAGTTTCTAGCATTTCTTAAAAGAGCCTCCAAAGCTTATCTCCAGTCTTCAAGGATAGTATAACAATTTAGATCTTTAATGTCCCATTTATTTGTAGTGGCTCTTGGCAAACACTAACAAACCACATGACACCTGTCAGCCACCATGGAGATGCACAGATTCCAGAAGATGAGGAGTTTGGGTCACACCTGTTATTTTCATGATGTCCATGCTTTGTTTCCTTACTCAGTAACAAGATGGCCACAAAGTCACCTAACAACCAGAAAAGCCGTTAGCTCGTATCTTTGTGCTCTACTGGGTGTCTCCAGCCTAACATCTTGTTGAGAGAATGGAAAGCCCTGGACCCTGCGCCAGCGTGCGTCCGGCTGCGTCTGCCGGGCCTATACCGCCTCCGCTCTGGCAGGGGGGTTTTCCTCGCTGGGCGGACAGCCCCCATTCTGCTGCACTGTGCTCTCCTCAGTCCTTGGCGCATCCTTGTCTTCTGCTTCTTTGCCCACACTTGAATCTGGTTCTTTATTGTGCTCCTTCTCCTACAATGAGTATTTACGTAAAGATTTAGTATTTTTCTCAAGAGCTGCCAGCTGTTACATCTAGTTCTAGCTAAAATATGTAACTTTACCTTTTGTGAATTAGTCAAGCTGGGTATTTTCCCCATTTACCTTTTCAAATAAATAGTATATGCAAACATGTATTGATATGTCCTTTGTACTTCTAAAATGGGACAATCCATGGAGTCTAAGGTGGAATAAAATAGGTACACAGAAATTCTACAGAAGAATTCAACGAACATTGCTGCCTGACTTGAAAAAGTGGAAGAGATCTGCTGAAGGTAAAATAATTCATTCCCATAGAGGCCAGGATAGACGTAATCTGGATACCAAATAAGCAAAAACAAGGGAATGTAGAAAAGGAAGTTACTATTCTTCCTACCAAAGACTGTTCAAGAACAGTCCAAATTCAATCCTTAACCGAGAATTAAAGAGGACATGTGGAACAGTGTCTGGAATGTATCAAGTGTTCAGGAGATATTATCAATGTTACTGACAATGATGATAAACTACTAGCAGTATGGGAATAAATAAAACTGTAAGATGAAAGCTCCAGAACTCATAAAACACAAATATTACTTACCAGCATAATATTTTACAATAAGTAAATACTTATTGTAAGTATTTACAATATTTATCCCCCTTTCCCCCAAAAAAATCCTTACTTGATGGAATTTGGTTTCCATTAATTATTCTAACTCAACAAACCTAACAATTGGTATATTATCACAAAACCAATGATAACATCATCTGTCAAATTTGCTACAACAAACGCAGTGAGGAAAATGGCAGCAAATAGAAATATTCCTGTACACTGTTAAAATTTTTATTGTATGCCATTCTGTGCAATTGTTTATACTAGTAAACATTAATTAGTTCTTATCTTCAAAACCTAGGTGAAAAAACTACTGATAAAACAAAGATTAAACAAGTAGTACCAAAAACACTGCTGCCCTCAAGGAGCTTTGTCTAAAGTTACTACCTCTATGAAATAAAGAACAATCTCATATTAATTATTTAAAACCTAAACATGCAAAGACTTGCTTACTTTAAGTGAAGTATTGTTCTTCTCTACCTTGTCCTTCCCTTCTCGGTCATTAGAGCTCTTTCTTGTAGAAGCTGAACGTTCTCTCTCTCTTCTTTCACTGATGTGGTCCCTTTCTTTTTCTCTCTTTTTATCCTTCTTATTTCTGCTATAAGAGTATTAATAATGTCAGTTAACATCTTAAAAAGTAAACACCCAGTATACTGTTAACTAAATACTCTAATCTAATAATAACGCATTGTAAACAAGCATAACAGTAACCTGGTAGACCAAGCAACATAAATGAGTCCTGAAACTCACCAACTCAATCCCACAGCCAGTTAACTTTTTAAAGACACACAATCATTTCTGCAGAGGCACAATTTTGTATTACCAATTTCTTAGTTTTTAAACATTCAAGGTTTATTATCTACTGTAATTAGGATAAAACAAAATCAAATACATAATGCTTTTACCCATTTTTTTCAAAGCAAAAAATGAATAAGCAGAAAATAATAAAAAAGATAAAATAATCAGACAAGGCTGAATGACTTCTCAGGCAAGACTATGACTTACAAAAACCTGAACTTCAAATAATCAATGACACCATGCACCCTCCTCTCCCTCACAAAGTCCCACCCACCAATTCAAGAGGAAAAGTTAAGCAGAAAATAGACTGAACGCGTTCCATTTGCAAAAACAACATATCCTTAAAATCAGAGGGGAAAAAATGAGGCACTTCATATCAGAAGCATAACAAGACATCTTCAACTCAAAATAATTAACCCTAATATAGAATTGTCTTAATTATGAGTAGCTTAAAAATAAATACAAAAACCAGGTAAACGAACAAAAACACTTAAGAAACAGACCCAAGTACATATAAAAATTGAATAAAGCATCTCAAATCATAGAGGAAAAGATGGTCTTTTATAAATAAAAGACCTGGGTACAACTGGATTATTATTCAGCAAGTGATAAAAGTGGGTCCATATCTCATTCACATATATAAATCCAAATGGATTAGAGACCTAAATTTTTTAAATGAAATACTACAAGCAAACATAAGTGAATTTCTAATTTGAATGAAAGGGAAGATTTTTTAACCATAACTAAAATTCCAAGTACAATAGAAGATTCATACATATGCCTACATAAACTTTTGCAAAGCAAAGCAAAAACACACTGCTAGCATATAAAAAAGAAAAATGACAAACCAAAAAAAATAGATTCATAACATACTTATGTGTATGTGTTTATCTTTACATATAGCTCTTAAAAGTCAAGGAAACAACTGCAAAAAGAACGAGATTCCTTAGCAATATATTTAACCAAAAGGGCAAAAAATTTGCCAAAAGAAATAAATGCATAAATAAAATGGAAATACGAACCATGTTCTTGAATCAGAAGACTTTTAAATAGAGTTAAGGTAACAACAGTATTCAACGTAATCTACAAATTTATTGCAATCCCCATCTAAATCGCATCAGCATTGTTAGCAGAAATAGAAAAAGCCCATCCTAAAAATCATATAGAATCTCCAGGGACATCAAATAGCCAAAACCATCTTTAACAACAAAATCGGAAGACAGTTCCTGATGTTAAAACTTATTACAAAACTACAGTAAGCAGAACTTTTCTTGGTGGTACAGTGGGTAAGAATTTGCCTGCCAATGCAGGGGACATGGATTTGATCCCTAGTCCAGGAAGATCCTACAACATTGTGGAGCAACTAAGCCCAGGTGCCAGCACTGCTGAGACTGCATGCTGCAGTTACTGAAGCTGCAAACCGAGAGCTGTGCCCCGCAACGAGAGACGCCACCACCACGAAAAGCCCACGCACTGCCACTGGAGAGCAACTGCCACTCTCCCCAGCGAAAGGAAGCCCAAGCAAAGCAACGAAGACCCAGAGCAGCCATCAATAAATAAATACCTGTACACAAATGTTCACAGCAGCATTACTTACAATAGCAAAAAACCCGGAAATACTACTAAATGTCCATCAACTAATGAATGGTTAAATAACAAAACCTGGTTTTATCCATTTATTGGAATAGTACTCATCCATTAAAAAGGAATGAAGTACTGATTCATGCTATAATATGTATGAACCTTGAAAACATTACATTCAATCAAAGAAGTCAGATACAAAACCACACATACTGAGTCTATATGAAACAGCCATAATAGGCAATCCAGAGACAAGAAGCAGATTAGTGGCTGTCTGGAACCATGGAGAGTAACTGCTAATGGGTACAAGCTTTCTTCTGAAGTGAAAAAAATGTTCTGGAACTAGCAGTGATGGCTGCACAAAATTGTGAACTCTTGAGAAAAATGCAACAAAAATTACTAAACATCACAGAAATGTACATTTAAAAGGGTGAATTTTATGTTATGTAAATTACTTCTCAATTTAAGAAATTTTAAGTCAAAATGGATCTGACATTGGGTAGAGTCACTGACCACACACACACACACACACACACACACACACAGAGTATATATAGTAAACGCTACCTTTTGGAAGACAAGGGAAAATTCAAATACATGTATCTGCTTAATTTTGCAAAAAAAGAAACACAAAGAAGGATAAAATAATTTATCACTTATAGAAAGTGGATGTTAAAGTAGAAGAAATCCTGAAGGAAGTGAAATGTTCTAAATATATCTTTTTGTCTAATTAGAGCTTACAGTTGATAAAAGTTTTTACTTTCGTGAGCAAAGTATTTTTTTTCCATTTATTTTTATTATAGCGAAGAATTTTTTAAAAATTCGCCCCACCTCCTCAATATCCTACACCTTCCTTTTATTCTCATCTAAAAATAATAACCCACAAACAAATAAACAAAAGATCTCTGCTGGGGAACATGTTCCTTCTACTCTGGGCAAAACTTTTATTTTATAAATTTCTCTTTTCTCTACCTGGAAAACCAATTGAAAAACTATGACCCATTAGCAAGATAGTGGGATGAAAAAATATATATACAGAAATCACTAACCTTCCTATGTATAAACCTTATCTCCAATTATATGACATAATGAAAGACTTCATTTACAAGAACAAAAAAGCAACATATATCTAAAATTAGACCTTGAAAAATGCATAAAATCTGTTTGAAATAAACACAGAAACATTCATGAAAAACACTAAGGATGGCCTGAATAAGCCATGTCCCTGGAGAGAAAGACTCACCTTCACAAAGTTTTATTTATTAATAAATCTATTCATCAATTTCCCCATTAATAAATTTAATCATACTATAACACAAATTATCGGTAGGTTTTACTTCTAGAACACAGTCAAACTAACCATTAAGCTCAAACAGAAAAATAAACACACAAGAATGATCAAGAAAGCTCAAAAAGAGAGAAATGAGAAAGCTCAAAAAAGAGAAATGAGAGGTATGGAAAAGTGTGTGTGTGTGTGTATGCGTGTGCACACGTGCGCACTCAGTCATGCCCGACTCTATGTGACCCCAGACTATAGCCCGTCAGGTTCCTCTGTCCATGGGATTCTCCAGGCAAGAATATTGGAGTGGGTTGCCATTTCCTACTCAAAGGAATTTTCCCAACCCAGGGATGGAATCCGCGTCTCTTATATCTCCTGCACTGACAGGCAGATTCTTTACCAACTGTACCACCTGGGGAAATAAAGACCTTACTAAATATTTTAAAATACTATACAATACGTATAATTAAAAGCATGAGGAACTACTGGTACGCAATCATCAGTCAAGCCAATCCAATACCACATAAGGCCCAGAAACAGACGCCAACACAAGCAGGAAAGTTTAGTATATGACAAAGGAAACATGGAATAAGTGTCAAGAAAATTGGGTTTTTAATGATATTGGAAAACAAAGAAGCATTTGGAAAAATAAAATCGTATCCATGTGACATATTGCAAACAAGGATAAACTCCTAATGGATCAAAGATGTAAATGCAAAAATTAAAAGTATAAAAGTACAAAAAAAGCAATGAAGGAATTTCACTATAATCTTGGAATAGGAAAGACTTTTCTACCTGTAAGACTCAAAATGGAAAAGTCACAAAAGAAAAAAACTTGAGGAATTAAACTATTTAAATCAAAAATATCTGTAAAATTAAGTCTCAAACAATTTCTAAGAAATGACAAACTAGGAATAATACTTGAAACCAAGTCACTGAAGAATCACCTCTGCAATACAGAAAAAATTTCTGAAAATAGAAAAAATAAAAACAGACCCCATAAAAAATGGGCAATGTATACAATTCACAGAAAAGGAAATACAAATGGCCTTCAAATATATGAAGAGATGGTCACTTCACTCTTAAGAAAAATGCAATGAAAATTACTTTATACTGGTACCATTTCTCATCTATAGATAGACCAAAATCCACAGCTTTGGAAACAATTTGCAGGAGCTACAGGGAAACAAGCATCTCAAACTGCAGCTGGTTAAAGTGCAAGCTGCCACTAACCTTTATAAAGGACAATACAGAAGGAAGTATCTCAAAACTACAAAAACACTCACCCTCTGGCCCACCAATACCATTTACAGAAACTGTCTCTGCACACTGGTGTCATCCACAAATTGGCACTTGCCATGGGTGCTTGCCATCTACCTCTACAAGGATTAAATCATGTTCTGCTGCAGCTGCTGACCTCCAACACCCTCTGAGGAAGCCCAGGGTGGAAAGCAGAAATGAGGCACTCTGTGCTCTGGGAAAACTGACATGACAGATCTTCATAGAGTAAGATATTTTCAGGAGCCGATTTTATGAGCCCAGTTCTACTCACATAGCCCAATATCTACTCATATCTAGAAATGCACTGAAGCCCTTCATGGTGACGACTGTTTCTTGTGACTGTTTCTTGTGAAAGTTTCACAAGACCAGAAGAAACTTTCTAAAAAAGTAAAAATAAACATGCTTGACTGCATGCACTCTCCCTTTACCAAAATCACATATATTCTGTCCTCCTCCCCGCCTCTTTGGAGCAGTTTCTCAGCGCTATCCAAGGTGCTGTCTCCCAGGCTGCAGTCCTCATGTTGCCCCAAACAAAACAACTCACAACTCTCACATTGTGCATTTTTTTAAGTTGACACTGGCACACTACAAAATTATGTAAATACAAAGCTATTCATTACAGACTTATATAATTTATAAAAAGAAAATTAAGAGAACCTATTCTACTGTAGGCTGGTTTCATAACAGACAACAGAAGACCATGCAATTGTAAAAAGGGATGAGCAGTACTCTGGTGAATACACAAAGTTCTTCTGGTAGTCAAATGACAAAAGCAACTGTACAACAGTGTACATTTGGCACTACCTTTTGTAGAAGATGAAAAAAACATTATATATTCTCAAAAATAAAAAATTATATATTCTCATCTGCTCCTATTTACAAAACTGGAAGGATATACCAAAAAAACTAATACAGTCGTTACTTGTGTGGACAGGATAGATGGACACATCATGGAAGCTAAGATCTATTTATAACTTGTATTCTCCAGATTTCTAAACCAAACTAATATATTGTTACTCATTCAAAATATAAAGTTATAAAAATAATAGACTGAAGAGAGATAATTTCCCCCTGCTTCCTCCTCAGTTCTAGAACATGCTTTCAACCTACCTCCTGGGGGATGGAGACCTAGAAGATTTCCTTTTTATGGTTTTTGATGTTCTTGGTGATCTGGAAGAACTCCTGCTCCTCCTCCTACGCCTTTCCCTAAAAGTAAAAAATATGTCATTTTAAAAACCAGTAATTCCAGTAATATTAATTCAAATACACAAAAGCAAAAGGGTCTGGAATGCTCTCAAGTGAAGAGTATTCTGTAAAGGTCAGTTTAAACTAATGTCTTTCATGAAAACATTCTATTATCTAATTTTAGTACAGGTCAAATTATGAACCATAAATTCAACAGACCCGTGAAAATATCTCTAAGATTTCATATTAGAAAGATGATCTCCTTTACATGTGATTTATTTGGACAGCAATTTCTAGAGCAGAAAAAATATTAATGGATGTTTCATATTCTCTCTTACATTAAACATATTTTCCTCCTCAACACCTAAATCATGTTGCTTTCCAGATCCCGCCATGCATCTAGCTCCTTGCTGCCCCACTGTGGATTATTTTTTTAACAAGTTAATAGGCCCTTTTCAAGAAGTGAAAAATAAATAGGCTTGCAACATACAGACTTTCTAAACCCAAGTATGCAGAATGCCTCTTTAAGGAGTATTTACATTAGTTCACTTCACAGAGAAACTGCTTTTACCCCCTCAACCACCTATCACTTCATTATTGTTGTTCTAGTCATTTAAAATTAAGCATACAAGTTACTTAGATATAAGGAAATTACTTAAAAACTGGGATTTAAATATGATGAAGTAAAAAATAATTATTAAATAGATTAACAAGATTATTAAAAACTTTATTAAAAACTGTTTTGCTTCACATATTACTGAATGACCCATACTTTTAATAATAATTTTACATGTGTTCAGTCACTAAGTCGTGTCTAACACTTTGCAACGCCATGGACTGTAGCACACCAGGCTTCCCTGTCCTTCAGTATCTCCTGGAGTTTGCTCAAATTCATGTCCACTGAGTCAGTGATACTATCTAACAAATTACTTCATTTCTAAGAGTGGTCAACTTAGAAACAATGAACTGCAAGATGTCTATTATTCGGGTGATGAGGTATGAGGATTTCTTTCTTAAATGACTAATGTAGCCAATGATCTATCTCACAAGAAGCTTTGATGATAAGTGGCCACAGAACTGAAACAACCAAATCCTCTAGACTTCAAGTTCTCCTTATATGTCAGTAAGTTGATTCTAGGCTAATAAAATATTTTGTGTACATTTTTCATCTATAAAATAAAAAACCAGACAATGCTTATATGTAGTATACACAGTAGATGTGAAGACTGAAAGAGTTCAAGAACTTTGAGTACACAAATTTCTGCTCTACCTAAGGTTCTTGCTTCCATTACCTAATTTTATCTCCAAGTCACCTAAAATTATACTTCCTACTGTGGAAATTAGATGACATTACTCCATTCAATCAATACGATTCTGTAGCAGCACCCCTCCCCCTACCTCACACACTAGGAGTAACTTTTTTCATAGCATAAGAATGTCAGTGTATCCCATTTTATACAAAATGGCTCCATCTTCACCAGTGTCTCTTTACTTGTATTTCAGGAACACTATGTATGGGTGGACATCTAATAACTACCGGTTAGTGGTGATGAGAGACAGGCTTGATAGACAGCCATCCAGGATGTCAGTTAGTTGAAAAAGAAGCTATCAGCGCTAGTATGCAGAATTGGAGTTAATAGGTTGACGTTTAAATTTTAGTTTCACACTTAACCAGCTGCATGACTGGGGTCATATTACTTAATCTGAGTCTTAGTTTTTCCAATGGATAAATGGAGATAATAACTCAAGCCTCATTGTGCTGTTATGAGGATTAGGATAATATCTGTAAAGCACCAAGCCTAATGTCTGGTGCACAGGAGGTGCTCAATAAATTTTTTCTTTCCCTTTGTTGGTCTAATCCTTATTGACTGTAATTTCAAGCATTATTCTTAAATATCAAAATTTTTTCTTTAAAAAACGTAGCTCAGAAGACAACGTTGGAAATAAAAACACCAAGTAGACTATCTTCCTCAGCAGTTAACAGGTTTCCTATTCACTAAACAAATCAGAGCAGCTGAAAGGAAGAAAAATGCTAAAAGAAATTTTAAAACTCTTCACTAAGCTCTTCTGAAAGCATGAATCATTTCAAACGACTGAACCTTTAGGAACCAACATTAGTCAGCATTTATTCTCCAGGCCCCCAGAGGTTATCTAAGAACTGAATGTGACTATCTACACTTTCTTTAACATCAAGCACGAAAAAATTAAACATTTTGAAGTCATCAGAAAATATAAATTCAAATGAATTTGAAAAGAATCAGGACACTATTTGGTGTTGTGAAAGGCATAAACATAAAACATCAAGGAATGTGTGAAACACAACCAATAAAATAACTGCAGTAAAGACACCATAAGGCTTAATTGATACCCATAGCAAATGAGTGAAATTATTCAGGTTTTGTTTCAATGTGCTGAAATATAGCAAAGATCTACTAATTTGAAGTTCCATTTTAACATATACTGCTGCCTTCAACTTTATACTTCTGAAGAATTTTTTAAAAAGCCAGTACCAAGTACTAGTTAGAGTCTTCATTTAAACAATCACAGAAGACAAAGAGCTACTGTACTACCATGCTTCTAACTAAAGTGCAGAGCAGATGGAAAATTTCCTCTGAGCTTTGGTTTCTTCATGTTTTAAAACCATAACAGTCTTCTCACAGGCTTACTGTGAGGATTAAATAAGATTAGTCATGAAAAACTCTGTTGAAGACACAAAATCTGCATATGGTAAAGCACTCAATAAATGCTAGAAAATTATCTTCAATTAAGTAACCAAAGACTAGCATTAAGAATAAGCTATTAAAACACAAAGCAAAAACATTAGGAAATGCACATGCCAGTCTCAAATTATTCTCTATGAAAAACCTTTTAAAAATATCTTTAAAATTTGCTAAAATATGTTTTTAAGTATTTTTAAGATACAGTTTTTAACACAACTTAGGAACTTCCATTTGTTTATAGTGACAATATCATCTGGAGCAATGGATACAGGTTGAGATGATCTTGAACTAAGGAAGATCCTCGTTTGCTGCTGTTACTATGGCAACCTGCTGCCACCTGGTGGCAGCGTGCGTGTGTTAGGTTGCTTCATCTGACTCTTAGCAACCCTCTGGACTGTAGCCCACCAAGCTCCTCCGTCCATGGGATTATCCAGGCAAGAATACTGGAGTAGGCTGCCACGCTCTCCTCCAGGGGATGTTCCCAACCCAGGGATCGAACCCGTGTCTCTTATGTCGTCTGCATTGGCAGGTGGGTTCTTTACCATTAGTGCCACCCGGGAAGCCCTGATGGCAGTGCTCCTAGAGTTAAATTTACTGCTCATTCCAAAGAAATATAGAGGCCTAATAAGCAGTCAACTTTTCCACATAAAACCAAATCCAAAATAAAAAGCTTGCCCCTGCCATCCCACCCTCCAAGAAAATAATAAGCAACAGCAACAACAGTCACTGGCATCACTGCCAGGTTAAAGCAGTGGATTACAAGGGACGGTTAACTTTTCAAATAACTGTGCCCAATACCATCTCTTCCTCCTCACTGATTCAATACTGTAGCAAGCCCTCTGCTAGAGAAAAGTTCTATCATTACTGTACTGGTTCCATGTATAACAATATTTTCCCTCTCACTTAAAACTGTCATCAGTGAGCCTCTTGGTAGAAAGCTGAAGCATTATCAAACCTGCTGGAACTACGAGATCTTCTTGATGCATTGTAACTTCTGGGTGGTGTCCTGGACTTTTTATCCTTCTTTCTTTTCTCATCTATCTCTTTGGATCTGTCCTTTTCTCGTTCCTTTTCTTTGTCTTGTTCCTTCTCCTTTTCTTTGTCTCGTTCCTTTTCATGGTCTTTGTCCCGCTCTCTCTCTTTGTCCTTCTCTTTGTCCTTGTCTTTATCTCGGTCCTTTTCCCGTTCTTTATCTCGGTCTTTATCTTTGTTTTTACCCCGTTCCTTTTCTTTTTCACGTTCCTTTTCCCTGTCTCTCTCTTTTTCCCTTTCCTTTTCTCTATCTTTTTCTTTCACTCTTTCCTTTTCCTTGATTTTTTCTCGGGTATCTTTTCTTTTGTCCCTTTAAAAATAAAAATAAATAAATAAATTCACAACTAAAATAATTCTACTCCCCAAAAAGGACCTGTTTCAACAATTATCAATACAAAACAACTGATAACAGCTATAAGACATTACATACAAATGTCTACATAATTTCTATGTACATGAAGCTAAATGAAACAATTACCAGGCTGAATTAAGTAGTCTGGAAATCTCATGAGTCATACTAACCATCATATTCAAATCAATGACAATCGACATTAAATTATTACTTAAACAATCAGAAAAAAAGTTTAATTTCTTTCATTAAAATTTTAAACCACAACAAATTTTTAACAAATGAGGTCATGAGAAAACTACCCTTAAATTCAAAAAACTCACCGTGAACGTGAGCGACTCCTTGATTTTCGCCTCTCCCTTGATTTAGAGCGTTTTTTATGAGGGCTCTTAGATCTACGTCTATCTTTTTGTCTTGAACGTGATCTATTGTGGGATCTACTCCTAAAGAAAGACAAATTGTTAGAGTATCAAAACTTAGTCTCAGAATTTCAATTTACAAATACTTAAGATCTTTCAAATGGGAAAATTTTAACACCAAACTTGACAGTATTTATCAGTATTTTAAAACTCTCTTTACATAACACTTCAGATAGCTTATATAATTTATTGGAAACTTTACCAGTTTATTGCCCAGAATACAAAGAAAGAAATAGAGAAGGAATTTAAGTTATTTACCACATCAGATTTAAGTTGATAGTTTCAAGTGTGACCTTCCTTTGCTAAGTATTACATGCTTCAATTAGTACAGACGATTTCTCTCAGTCCATATTTTCATATCATAAACTGTCTTTATCTCTTTTTTTTTAATAGATTTTATTTTGACATGGACTATTTTTAAAATCTTTATTGAATTTGTTAACAATATTGCTTCTATTTTATGTTTTGGTTTTTCAGCCGCGAGACATGTGGGATTTTAGCTCCCTGACCAGGGATCAAACCCTCAGACCGTGCATTGGAAGGTGAAGTCTTAACCACTGGACCACCAGGGAAATCCCTGTCTTTAACTCTTGACTTGCATGTAATATGACTGCTTGTGGTTACAGCTTATCTTGACAGGGACTGATGGTTATATGGTTCAATGGTTTCTATAAACAGCTGTGTGTTGTTTGTCATAACACAGATTAAGAAGAATGTGTAAGAAAGCACAGTACTAATGATGGTGCTAGTGGGACAGGAGACCAAACATCTTACTCATGAGTGAAAGCTAAATATAATCAAATACTGAATTTGCAAAGGCCCTGATTTTATAATTACATATACATACCCATTAAAAGACACCGTTATTCCTAGAATTCTTGGAGGAAAAATAACTGTTCTTCCAATTTTAAAATTTTCTAGGCTCTTCTCCAAACTAAATAGCATATATAATGTGACATTTTTCATATTGAGGCATCCTAGAACTATTCATTAAAATATGACAATATTGAATGCATACAACAAGTGATGAGACTCACTGGCTTTAGAGACAAACAAACTGGCTCTGACACTCAGTTCTGCCACACAACCGCTGAGAGAACTCTGGTTAACCACTTAACCTTGCTAAGCCTGAGTTTCTTCATCTAAAAACTGGAGTAAAAACCATACCTACACCTCTTATGACCCTCATGATTAAAACAGATGATGGATGGAAAAATGACTAACAGTTTCTGGTGCAGAATAAATGATTAAAACTCCTACTCTCAATATCTACATCACCAACAATTAATATAAGTGAAAAATTATTCCAAGAAGGTAAAATGAACTTCTGTAAGTATGTCTTACATAATTAAAACTCATCTTGATAGTAATATTTTCATGAATTAGGTTAAAACAATATATAAAAAGAAATATATATATATATATATATATATATATATAGAAGAAATATATATAGTTAAATGCTGGTAGTATGCTATGAAACCTAAAAAATCTCCAAACAATCCTCAATTAATAATGAAATCTTGTTCATAAAACACTTTTCAGTTAGTTAAAGTTTGTTCTCCAACAGTTAATTTTCAACTAAATCTACTACATGGCTTTAAAAATTAAACTTTTATCTTTATGCTGTTCAGTCCCTAAGTCATGTCCAACTCCTCGTGACACAGGGAAGCACGCTGGACTTCCCTGTCCTTCACTATCTCCTAAAGTTTGCTCAAATTCATGTCAGTTGAGTGAGTGATGCTTTCTAACCAACTCATTTATCTTCATACCACAATTTAATCTAAGAAAATAATTACTAGTTTGTTGAAATCTTTATCACTAATAACCTATGAGACACTAGGGTCAAGTAGTAGCTACTAGGGGAAAACTGCAAAACTTACAACATTTTTAAGTACATTTACAGACACCCACATAAGGGTAATGTTTTAAAGGGCCTTTGCGTCTATGTACTTAATAGTCTGTTAACTTTGCTAAAAAAAAAAAAAAAAAAAACCACAATAATTTTGTTTTCCTCAAATAGTGCTTTTCAGTCTTAATTAAGAAACTTTTAATAAAAATTAACCATAGTCCTTACAAATAAAAGTTAATAATAAAAAAGCACTCACCAAAAAAGCAAACAAAAAAAAAAAACAAAAACCACAAAAAAGTGACGACCACATGGCTCCCACTTCACGCTGTGGGTGCTCAGAGTCTGAAACTCACTGCTCAAGAGTGATTACTGCATTTTAATTTTGACAATAAATATTTCATGTCTATGTCACCCACTAGTTGCCTTTAAGTATCCTGATTAGGAAAGCTAAAAGCTTTAAGTCAAGAGCAAAACGAATCCAATCAAAGATAAAGATGTGAGCCATCATTAGCAGCTCTCATTTTAGCATAAATGTACAAAATTGCACTTACAGATTAAATTGTAAATAAAGGGCAACTTACCATTATGTTGCATCAAAGTTCATTTGTAAGTCAGTTGCTTCCCATTAAAATATTATAAAATGTCTTACAGTTCCTATGCTGGTCTGTAAAGGTTACTTAACTTTACAATAGAGTACTACCCACCTTTTCTAACCCTGCCCCTATGAAAAAAACACAATAAAAATTTGGACAGAGTGGAAACACATCTTCCCAGTTCTAGCCAAGATAATAACAAATAACTCCTTCCTCCCTCCTATAGAGAGAAGGGAGGGAACAGGAAAAAGATCAGGGGAAGGTTCTAGAAGTATCAGAACACTAACAAGGTAGAAAAAGATGGGCCTTTGCGTAAGGGGATCCTGCAACCTCCACTCCTGGCTAGGTCTAGTGGGTCAGAGAAAGAGATGAAGGTCTCCAATCCCACTAGGGGTGGGGTTGGGGGGGAGCACGAAATGTCTGGCATTTCCTACAGTAGAGAGGGGGAGGGAGTTCCTTAAGTCTAATGTTCTTGGTTGAGGAACTTTTTTTCAACAAAACTCATCCTCTTTTGCATTTCTTTATGATTTTAGTAAAAGCTTCTTGTATAAGAACAGTATATGCTGATAAAAAAGGTATACAGGCATACCTCGAGAGAGATTGTGGGTCAGGTTCCAGACCACAGCAACAAAAGGAACATAACAACAAAGCAAGCCCAAGGAACTTTTTGGCTTCCCAGTGCATATACACGTTATATTAACTCTACAGGGTAGTGTATTAAGTGTGCAGCAGCACTGTGTTACAAAAAAAAAAAAAAGTACATAACTTAATTTAAAATGGGTTGGCCAAAAAGTTCATTCAGGTCTTTTCCTAACATCTTACAGAAAACCTGAATGAACTTTTTGGCCAACAACACTTAATTGCTAAAAAGTGCTGATCATCATCTGACAATGCAGGACTGCCACAAACTTTCAATTTGTTAAAATCAACAGTATCTGTGAAAGCACAACAAAGCTAAGTATAACAAAATGAGGTATGCCTGACTATGAGCCAGCCAAGAACAATTGATTTCTCACTCTATATCATTAGACAGACCTCCATGAAACCACTCCCATGAATAAAAATAATTAACAAATTTCTAACCCTCCACTAATCCTTGGAAGGGGAAAATATCCAAATACACTTAAAATGATGAGTAAAAACCTTAAAATAGATAAATTATATGTCCCAACAGAGAAAGCTTCAAAGAAATTATCAAGAAAATGATGATATTAATCATTAAGTTCTGCTTTTTTCCAGCTACAGAATACCACTAACGTATTAGATTTGGAGTATGGCTCTATTAACACAAATTAAGAGTCAAGTCATTGGTCTTTTTCTTCCTCAGAAAGAGGAAGAAACTTATAACTCTTTCACTCACTTCTATACTTTTCTTTTACCACTCTGTTGACCTATAGAAATATCCATAGCCTAGTACCACTGAGTCTATACACTTCTTTCTCTAATTCCGGTTTCTGCTACACTGACTTCTTCCTCGTACATGAAGCAATTTCCTTCTCGTAGACATGAATTTGCCTTACTGTACAGCCTTGGATGGAGAGTAAAATCATATTCCAAAAGGAGTTTTGCAATCTAATAATAATAGGGAAGTATACCCCAGCACAGCTAAAAGTATAGTTTACTAGTCTAATTAAGAATATCTGCAATCAGAGATTACCATACTAAGTGAGATAAGTCAGAAAGAGAAAAACAAATACCATAAGATAACACTTACATGTGGAATCTAAAATATGATAAAAACGAACCTATCAATGAAAAACGGAAATAAAATCAGGGACACAGAGAAGAGTATGGTGGTTGCCAAGGGGAAGGGGGTGGGAGAGGGCAGGAGTGGTAGTTTGGGATTAGCAGATGCAAACTGATATGTCTACAATGGATAAACAGGTGCTACCATATAGCATAGGAAACTACATTCAACATCCTGTGACAAACCATATGAAAAAGAACATATATATATGTATAACTGAGTCACTTCAGCTGTATAGAAGTAATTAACACATTGTAATTCAACAACACTTCAATAAAAAATAAATTTTAAAAAAGAATATCGTATTTTCCTATCTCACTGCCTCAATCTCCTTGATTAGCACAGGAAATTAAGACTGAACTGAGCTTGTTGGTGAAGTTCAACAAAGAACATACTGGTCCTTTTTGCCCTCCCCTGAAATCCTCCTTCTCTAACACTCCCAACAAACATGCACACACACTTTTCTCTATCTCTTCTCTTCAGAGAGTATGAATATGTATGTACATATAACATGCAATTAGGATCTACTGTATCCATTTTCACAGTTCAGTAACAGCTCCCTCCTCATCTTAAAGAGGACAATAAAACTTATCTTGTTAGACCTGATTCTTAGGTTACTTTCAATCAAGATGGTGTTCCACGTTTTGAGATCCCCTTTGCACCACACACAACAGATTTTTAAAAGAACATTAAAATGACAGAGCCATGCTCAAAAATAAGATAGAATAGAAACAAAGTTATAAGCACAATACAATAGCTGCCATTAAAACTGCAAGTTACTCCTACATTTCAGGTCCCAAAGTGGGTGGAGGCAGCTCTTATCATCAAGAGTACAAAGACTTAAAGTACTTCATTTGATGCAGAGGACTGGAGAAAAGCAACTACTTGAAATCTAGATCTGGGGTAGTACTTCCCAGACCTTGAGGGGAACAGGAGAGGGAAAAAAAAAAAAGCAACTTTACCAGTACTTTCAGCACCATATGTTCCCTTTTCCCAATGTGAAGAAAGAAAAATTTCTGCCAATTCTTTATAACGAGTTAATTTTTAAGAAATATCAAGAACAGAACACCTTAAGATAAAAAAACCAACTTCTAAAACTAAAAATTAGTTGAAAATATGTATTTACTAGATAAAACTTCATTCTTAAGTATAGTGCTATAATTAAAGCAATATCTAAGAGTAACCATACTTTCTGGTGAACACCAGTGAAATTTCTAAACTCTGAAACTTAGACAAAAACTCAAGAAAATCTTAGCCACGGTAAATACAAAAACAAAAAACATTCAAAATATGACAGCAGAAATTCTCACCTGTGTTTTGACTGTGACCTTTTCCTTCGAGAACGGGATTTTGAGCTAGACCTGGATTTTGAACGAGTGTGGGAACGAGATCGACCGCCTTTTCTTTCATTGCTCTTTCCAGACTCTGGGAGGAAAAAACCACTTTGCAGTGTAAGCTCAGAACAATTAAAGATCCCAGTTAATAATCAGGCACAAGTGGAATGTACCACATATAGTGCAAGGGGCCTACTCTCTGTACATCCTCCTCCTGTGCAATTATCCTTCAGAAACATCCAAGAAAGTCATTGCATAAACTCGTTGAGTGCAGCCACCCTGCAGCAGTACATATAAACCAGATGATTATAAACAGCTGTTCGTAGTATTTTGTTGCTGCCATAATGTACGATTATAACATGTCTGTAATTCCTATGACAGTGATTTTAATTCCTTTTTCCATTTATTTTCCTAGAATTGAAGCTTAAGTTCTGAGTGCTAATTTAGAAAATTTGCTCAAACGTAAACCATCTAGACATTTTTAGGTTGGATTTTTATAGTTAGCAACACAAAAGATTGAAAAGATGTTCCTTTACCTTGCTAAAATAGTCTCTATTTTTCCTAAATTGTGGTCTCTGTTGTCTATTTTTAAAATTAAAACTTTGAAGGAAAAATGAAATCTGCTTAGTCATAACATTTAAAATATATTTATTCTTGTCTTTAGTCTCACAAATAGTATTTATACTTTGCTTTAAGCAAATCAGTTCTGTACACTGATTTTGCTATTAAAACATAAAGAACTGATTTAACTCAAGCTAATGTACCTCAATTCAGTATCATGGAAAAAGACATTTGTGCTAAATACTTCTTCAACCTTTGATGCTAGTTAAGTCACTTACACTTTCTTGAGTTTCAGTCTTCTTATTGTAAAATGAAGGGACTTAACAGATAATTTCTAAAATTCCTTCCAGCTCTAAGAGTCTATGATCATCAACTAAGACCTATGTAACAACGCTGTGGCCTTACCTGGTTCGATAGCTGCTGAGATAAAGGACTGAGCCTCTCGTACTCGCTTCATTACTTCTTCTAACTCCTTAGCTGCAGCCTGAGGTGTCATCTCAGGGGGTTTTACTATTGCATTGTTGGAGTGATTTATTCTAAATTAAAAATATTAGCATATCACAAATACACACCATATTTTACAAAACCTGAAACAATTAACTGCTTATAAGGTACACACATTTACAAATCTGAGGACATCTCAAAAGCACATGAAGAATAATATAGCTAAATACAGAATAACTAAAACCAACCTCAAAACCATGATTCATCTCATTTCCATCTGCCATCATCTCTTGCTAACAAAGGCAAAAGCAAGGGGAAAAAGAAGAAGAAAAACTGAGCCTAGCCAACTCCCTTACCAACCTGAACAGACCAGACAACAGCTTTACCGCACAGCTCAGAATTAAAACAAACCAAAGTGGTAACACCAGTATTAAAATGAGTCATTTCTATTCTGAGATTATAAAAAACTCTCCCTTCATGGCTAGGAGTGGTTTCTCTGAGGCACATAAATGAATGTGCTGTGTCTCACTTTAGCATGGTGAAAAGACAAGCATTCACTAAGAACATCATTTCTTATCCTCTAATAGCAGACTCCTGACCAAACTGCATAGTTAAGATCATTATCTACAGAATTCAAATAAAACTGTCACCTCAATAATCTGTATGAAATAGAATTTCTGGTCTTGAGTATCTAAAAGGCTTTATCAATTTTTCACTTTGCAAACAAGAATGCAAGCAAACCTTAAAATGTATTATTTTTAAACATTTCTGAGATTTTGGATTTACCAAAATTCTATCTCTATATTACTGTAAACTCAATGCATATGTTAGACCATCTAAGTCTAGCATAACAATGCAAAACTAACCTGACCTGTTAAAGCCTACGGAAAAAGAGCTACAGTCAACACGTACGGTATAAACATGTTAATATTAACCTAGACGTTATGAACTAGAAAGTAACATGTCTTCAAATGCAACATTAATTTAAAACCTAAAATGGTAAATATCTCGTGTTTCATTTATACTTAACACAGTCTTCCTTTCCACAAATTGCCAATTACTATTAAAAAGAAAAAAAAACTTAATTACATAAAAAACACTTAAAAATTTTCCAGAATCATTAAAATTTCTTTGTTTAGTGTTTCTTACTTCAGTGGCCTGTCTCCAAACATAACTCCATTAAAAGCAAGGGCCCTTGGTACAGAATTTTGGTCTGCAAATTCCACAAAAGCAAACCGAGTTGGCTGAGTCTCATCACCTGCCATCCGAACAAACTTCACTTCTCCAACTTGTTTAAAAAATTCAAGTAGCTGGTCAGCTGTGGTTGTCTGAAGAAACAAAGTAACAGTTTTAATAAAGTATATTCTTCTTAAAAAAAAAATCTGGTAAATATTACTTTACCAATTGATACGATTTTTAAGAAAGGGAAAAAGCTAAAAGGCCCCAACACTCAATTTCTTCTTATATTAGTTACCTGGGAATTCAAATTGCCAACATAGACTGTTCTCCTAATTTCATCAATTTTAGAAGGATCCACATTCCCCATAAGCGGTGGCTGTGGTATCTCTCCAAGGGTTGCAATGTTGGGGTCTAGCGCTGCGGCTGGTATAGCTCCCAAACTGCTAAGGGAAACGCCCAGCTATAAGAAAATCAACACAACATGTATTTTCTGTTAGTGTCAAAAATTACCACTCTCAAGAAATCCAAAGAGGGATATATGTATACATATAGCTGATTCATTTTACTGTTCAGTAGAAACACATTATAAAGAAACTACACTCCAATAAAATTACAAAAACAAAACAAGTAAACAAACAAACAAACATTACCAGTCTCTCATCTTGAACAATACTGATCAATTCAGTAAGACTGGGAAGAGACTAGGGACTCCTAATTTAAGCCAGGTATACATCTGGATTATTCAGAGTAAGGTCACACTGGTTTTCAATGTAACAAGAAGTACTATGTATTTCTTAACTATCTGGGTATTTTAATTCTAAACTTAACATTAAAAACAAACAGTGAATTCTTACTATTTTTTTCCTATTAAATGGTAGATTCAGTGATAGAGAATTCTATTCTTTTCTGTTGACCAATCAAGATACAATAGTATTAACTGAATAACAGTTACATAGTCACAATAGTAAAAGATCAGTTTTCACAATCAATAGCCAGACAAAAAATAAAAGATAATTACAACTGCAAGCCATAACAGACGTATGATTAACCTAACAATATAAAATAATTACATACAACTTGGGGGATTAAGTAGAGTGATGTGCTAAGTGGAAGTGCATACATGCACATGTTCTCATCTGTCTAGCCAGTCTGTCTTTTGGCTGATGCATTTAATCCATTTACATGTAAGGTAATTATCACTATGTATGATCCTATTTGGCCTTTTGTGCAGTTTATGACGTTCTCGTGGCAAGTATACTGGGTGGCTTGTCATTCCCTCCTCCATGCTGAAGCTAAAGCTACAGTATTTTGGTCATCTGACGCACAGATGACTCGCTGGAAAAGTCCCTGATGCTGGGAAAGATCAAGGGCAGAAGAGGGCGTCAGAGGATGACATGGCAGGATGGCATCACCGATGCAATGAACATGAACTCGGGCAAACTCTGGGAGACGGTGAGGGACAGGGGGCCAAGCATGCTGAAGTCCACGGGGTCACAAAGAGTCAGACAGGACTGGGCTAGTGAACAACAATTATCCTATTAACCATTGTTTTTTTTTTTTTTTTTAGCATTTTCTTAACTGTTTTGAATTTATTCTAGTAGGTTCTTTCTCTTGTGTTTCCTGCCTAGAGAATTTCCTTTAGTATTTGTTGTAAAGGTGGTTTGGTGGTGCTGAATTCTCTTTTAACTTCTGCTTGTCTGGAAAGCTTCTCATTTCTCCATCAAATCTGAACAGTTTTGCTAAGTAAACTATTCTTGGTTATAGGTTCTTCCCTTTCATCACTTTCAGTGTACACACCATTCCCTTCTGGCTTGAAGAGGTTTCTGTTGAGAAATTAGCTGATAACTTATGGGAGTTCCGTTTTATCTTATTTGTCATTTTTCCTTTCTTTTACTATTTTATCTTCGTTTTTAATTTTCATCACTTTGATTAGTATGTGTTTCAGTGTGTTCTTCCTTGGGTTTATCCTGCCTGATACTCTCTGTGCTGCCTGGACTTGGTTGACTACTTCCTTTCCCATCTTAGGGAACTTTTCAGCTATTATTTCTTCAAATATTTTCTCAGGTCTTCTTTCTTTCTTCTTCTGTGACCCCTATAATGAGAATGTTGGTGCACTGAATGTTGTCCCAGAGGTCTCCTAGGCTGTCTTCATTTATTTTCATTTGTTTTTCTATATTCTGTCCTGTGGCAGTGATTTCCACCATTCTGTCTTTCAGGTCACTTATCCATTCTTCTGCATCAGTTATCCTAGTTCTTCTAGTTCCTTGGGAAACATTTCTTGCATCTTCTCAATCTTTTCCTCCACTCTTATCCAAGATCCTGGATCATCTTCACTCTCATTATTCTAAATTCTTTTTCTAGAAGCCTGCCTATCTCCACTTCATTTGCTTATTTTTCTGGAGTTTTACACTTTCCATTCATGTGAGACAAAACCCTCTGCTTTTTCATCCAGGTTACCTTTCCATGGTGTGGTTTTGGTTCTAGCCACTGAGGTATTCCATTCTTGCTTCATCTGTCTGCCCTAAAGTGGATGAGGCTAAGAGGCTTGTAGAAGCTTCCTGATGGGAAGGACTGGTGGCGGGAAAAAACGGGGACTTGCTCTGGTGGGCAGAGTCATCCTCAGTAAAATTTTAACCTAATTATCTGCCAATGGGGGTGTCTGCACCCCTTCTCTGTTTGTTGTTTGGCCTGAGATGACTCAGCCAAACACAGGCTCTGTGGTTGTGTTAATCGTGATGTCCGAGAGGACTTACACCAAAGGGCCCTTTCCAGGACTGCTGCTATCTGTCTCCCCATCCCCACGGCAAGCCACTGCCAGCCCACACCACCACGGCAGACCCTCCAACACTAGCAGGTAGATCTGGTTCAGTCTCCTGTGGGGTCACTGCTCTGTCCCACTGGGTCTTGGCATACACAGGATTTTGTTTCTGCTCAAGAGTGGAGTCTCTTGTTTCCCCCAGTCCTGTGAAGTCCCGTAATCAAATCCCACTAGCCTTCCAAGTCAGATTCCCTGAGGACTCCTAGTCTGTTTGTTGGATCCCCTAGCTGGGAAGCCTGATGTGGGACTCAGAAACTTCGCAACAGTGGGAGAACTTCTTTGCTATTAGTGTTCTCCAGTTTGTGGGCTGCCCACCTGGTGGGTATGGGATTTGATTTTATCGTCATTGTGCCCCTCCTACCGTCTCATTGTGGCTTCCTGTCTTTGGACGTGGAGGATCTTTTTTTGGTGGGTTCCAGGATATGCAGGTCAGGAAGCAACAGTTAGAACTGGACATGGACCAACATGGTTCCCAATAGGAAAAGGAGTACGTCAAGGCTGTATTTTGTCACCCTGCTTATTTAACTTATATGCAGAGTACATCATGAGAAACGCTGGGCTGGAAGAAGCACAAGCGGGAATCAAGATTGCCAGGAGAAGTTATCAGTAACCTCAGATATGCAGATGACACCACCCTTATGGCAGAGAGTGAAGAGGAACTAAAAAGCCTCTTGATGAAAGTAAAAGAGGAAAAAGTGAAAGAGAAAAGTGAAAGAGTGAAAAAGTTGGCTTAAAGCTCAACATTCAGAAAACTAAGATCATGGCATCCAGTCCCATCACTTCATGGCTAATAGATGGGGAAACAATGGAAACACTGAGAGACTTTATTTTCTTGGCTCCAGTATCACCGCAGATGGTGACTGCAGCCATGAAATTAAAAGACGCTTGCTCCTTGGAAGAAAAGTTATGACAAACCTAGACAGCATATTAAAAAGCAGAGACATTACTTTGCCAACAAAGGTCCGTCTAGTCAAAGCTATGGTTTTTTCAGCGATCATGTTTGGATGTGAGTGTTGGTCTGTGAAGAGAGCTGAGCACCAAAGAATTGATGCTTTTGAACTGTGGTGTTGGAGAAGACTCTTGAGAGTCCCTTGGACTGCAAGGAGACCCAACCAGTCCATTGTAAAGGAGATCAGTCCTGGGTGTTCATTGGAAGGACTGACGCTGAGGCTGAAACTCCAATACTTTGGCCACCTCATGCGAAGAGTTGACTCACTGGAAAAGACCCTGATGCTGGGAGGCATCGGGGGCAGGAGGAGAAGGGGACGACAGAGGATGAGATGGTTGGATGGCATCACCGACTCGATGGACATGAGTTTGAGTAAATTCCAGGAGTTGGTGATGGACAGGGAGGCCTGGCGTGCTGCGATTCATGGGGTCGCAAAGAGTTGGACACAACTGAGCGACTGAACTGAACTGAACTGAGGATCCTCCAGTGGATGGCTGTCCAATAGCTAGCTGTGATTTTGGTGCTTTTGCAGGAGATGAGTGTACGTTCTTTAACTCTGCCATCTCCAACTGGAAACCCTGTCAATTCTTACTATTTGCAGTAGTTTTTAGTTCAAACATTAAGAAACATGCTTTAGTGTGAATTTAAACTTGAAAAGATAGACATGAGAATTTGAAAATGAAACATTTTGCAAATTCAAGAAAAGACTTTTTAAGAAACAAAAACACTGCTACTTTCATTTTCACCTGGGCAATTTAAGCCAATTAAGTTAACCAACTACATATTGTTATACTGTTGCCAATCTACTAAAATTTTAACAATACTTTCTAAAGGCAAAACTACTAGTTTATGAAATCAGCATCACTTACACTTGTCATAGCAACCCATGTGTGATCTTTTTAAAACATCACATCAAGTTTTATCTCTGCTTAAAACCCTTTAGAATAAAATTCAAACTTCTTTCTGTGGCCTAAAAACCTTACATAATCAGTGCCCTACCTGCCCCTCTAATCTCAAAACCACTTCTACCCTACCTCCCTAAACCCCTACCCTGAAACCAAGCCATTCTGTACCTTGAACACACGTTTTTCTCACTTAGGGCTTTTTACCTGGCATTCCATCTACCCTAAAAAGCTCTTACCCGAGCTTCTCTTGGCTGAATTCTTCAACCATCCAGTCAGTCATCCTCTCCAAGTTCTCCCTGACCTTATGGAGAGCCACATTTCCTCTCTACTGCATCACTGTTTTTTCCTTCATAGTTTTTATTAACATAATCTGTGCTATCTTGCTGCTAACAGACTTTAGATTTGTTGCTATCATTTATCATAACATTGTAGAAAATATCTTTAGTTCAAAACACATGAATGATCTAGCCTCTTTCCATATGTTGCCTCTAATGACACTCCTTTTTCTATCTTGCCTCTGATAGTCTAACACTCAGATGATTGAGGGTCACACCTTCAATTTTTTTCCTACTGTGCAAGAGAATTATTATATACAACTAAGCTAAATTACAAATATGAGTCTTGTTAGTTCTGCCTGGATTTAAAGCAGACTTTTCTAGGTATTCCAAGGTGTCCACCCTTTGACTTAGAAATTTCTCCACTGCGACATATAATTATATATCTGGAACGGGCTTTTCCAAATCATCTAACCCAACCCCTTCGTTTCTCAAATGTAAAGATCATTCAGTCTTTTTTCTTTAGAAACTTTGTCTCTCTCTTCTTTGCCCTATACCATTCTTCAACACTTGTGCCATTTGACATGGTAACCACCAATCACATAGGGCTATCTGAATTTTAATTAAAATTCAATGCCTCAGTCACACCAGTCAAATTTCAAGTGCTCAACAGCCACATGCTGCCAATGGTTCCTATACTACATAGTATAGATTCAGACATCTCCATCATAGCAGAAAGATCTACTGGATATGGCTTCTCTGTAACAATACAACTACCCTTCTTTAGATTAGTCTCTATTCTGGCCCTGGTCCAAACAACCTAAATACTGAGTTAGCCAAAAAGTTCATTCAGGTCTTTCCTTAAGATGTTATGAAAAACCAAAAACCAAAAACTATTTGGTCAACACAATAGTCGGGAGTGCCCTTTCGGTCTTTGAGGGGATAAAGATGATCTGGACTCCCAATATAAAACTTTTGCCTTCTGACATAAAAACCTCAGCCTCCCTGAAGATTTTATAGACTTAATCTTAATCTTCCCATTAAGTAGAAACCTTATAAAAGGTTTCATTCACTCATATCAAAGAGTGAATCTTTTTAATGTCCAGAAAAGAAATGTTCTAGGCAGAGAATAAATAAATATTCCGAGGCAGAAATATATTTGGTATATCCAAAAAACAAGGCCAATATGACTGAAGTAAAGGGAAACAAGTAGGGAAAAAAGGTCAGAGAAGTAGCCAGGAGCCGGATCACAATGGGCCACCTTCCCCGTGTTTTATAACTTCATGAATTAAGTTATATCATAATAGACATCTACAGCTGAATTAAAAGGAATCATTTCCCATCAAAGCAACAAATTAAATAATCAAGATGTTATACTGTTGACAAATAAACCTAAAAATGTTCACAATAGCAAGACAATATTTTCTGAGGAGAGGGGAAAAAAAGATGGTGATTCAGGAGTTAATCTTAAAATATGCCAAAACATACCCAAACTCAAATTTCTAAAAAGTGCAATTCAAATGATCAGATGTTAAAGTAAAAAGCACTTTCCCCCCATGGATCATAACACAGGTCTTCAGTAGAACAATGTCATGTAAAAATCCTCAAATCTAGCACTTTCCAAGTTTCAAAAATCACTTCTAAAACTTGGATAAATTAAGTAACTATTATCATAAAGTTTACTGATTCACCCCTTAATAACCCAGTACCACAAAGCTAAATACAACTTTCAATTAAAGTTAGTTTTGCATTTTTTCTTGGGTTTATTTTTACAGAAAAATGACTCCTCTTTTAAAATAAACGACCAAAAGAAATAAATAAAATAAATGACCAGATTCTTTTATATAAACCAAGAACTCAGTAACAGCACGGCTTTTTTTTTAACACCACTTGGAAATCACAAAGGAGGCATTAAATTACACTTAGTTAACAAGAAACTATTTTTACTATGTTACATTTTCTCAGTATCAGAAAAAACCTTCTCTGAGACGTTTCTTCCCCATTATCAAGACAGTAAATTATTTCATATTTTCCAAATGGATTTAGTCCCCCTAAACTGGGAAATACAGGTGCCAAGACTCTGCCAATTCCTCATGCTAGCTACAGTGCTGGGACCCAGTAACTGATTTACTAATGAATAATATACTTCAGTTCTCAAATGTAAATGAATCCCCAACTACTTCATAAGCAATTCCAAAAGGCATTTCAGGTCAGTGACAACTTGAGGAAAAAATTAGGCAGACATTTCAATCAAATCCTCTCCATTAAAAAAATTGTATTTAAAATAGAAATAGCAACTTGCCTGGTGGTCCAGTGGTTAAGACTCTGCACTCCCAATGCACAGAGTGCAGGTTCAGCCCCTGGTTGGAGAACTAAGACGCCACATGCTGGGTGACGCAACCCAAAAATAAATTAATAAAAATAAAACAGAAATAGTTTCCTAAGCTCTTTACAACAACAACAAAAAAGATTTTCTAAGCTCTTTACTTAGCCAATGACACAGTTTAATGTTCACCCCTTTTGGAAGAGGGCGTATCGTCTCACACTTACTGTAGTTAAGGGATTTGGAGTCGGTATGGGAAGCAAGCCTGCACCAGGCATCAGACTTGTCATGGTTGGAGCAGGAGCCAATAAAGAGAGGGCTTTGGCTTCCTCTGGGATTTTACCTGCAGAGGCAAGTTCCAAACATTACAGAAAGCAGAAACACCACACAACTTTACACTATGATTTTACAATTACCCTTGCACTTAAAAAATAATAATAAAAAATGAATCTATCAGATCCATATAAAGAAATAAATAAGAACTTAAGTCTTTCCTTTTACCCTGCTCTACTAGGAAAAATAAAAGTGAGCAAAATTTCAAAGACTAACAATCTCATTAATGGAATATTATTTTAAAAACTGAATAATGTAGACAATTATTTAACACTTTGAGCTATGGGTCACCTGTACTGGAAACTTAATGTTCATGAACCAAACGATATCAAGCATGGACGCTTTTCCAGGACGGTGTTTTCGCGGTGATCGAAAGTTGTGTTACACATGACAACCGTTCGTGTTGGCTGCATCACTAATAGCACACAGAACATCAGATACAGAAAAGAAGAACATTTTTTAAAGTTTAATCCCCAGAAATGGCAAATAACCAAATTAGTCAAAAAAAAGAAAAAGAAAAAAACAAATATGTGCGAATTGAAATTTATTCCCGAGTGTCCCTATCCTGTTAATTTAAACTACCTACTTGTGATGCAAACAATTTTGACAATCTTCCAATAGATTCCATTTAATTTCAAGTAGACAGAAAAAAACAAAAGCTACTGCATGTAACCAGCTTCAATTGAAAAGGAAGCCTACACCTATTCAGTTAACGAGGCATCTCACCAACAATGTCAGAGATGACCAAAAGAATCCAGTTCCAAAGAATATATATACCTTGGGAAACTATCATTTTTGAAAATAAAAAAACTTTCCTGAGTCTCAGGAAACTTCTTAAATTACTGACTTTTAGAACCAATTTACGTATACTCATCTGAAGAGGGGTGGGTTAATGCCTAAATGTCTTCCTTATAAAAAGCAGCTTAAGTGCCTAATAATAATAACAATAACATTAAAATAATCCTAGACACTAAGAAGAAATCCCTACAAGTAAAAAAATGAAAATTTACTCTGAATTAAGTCCATCAATTTGCCACATTTAATTACTGAATTCTAATCAATCAGTTTTGATAAGGACTATGACTTTCACACACTTTTTTCTGCTTTCTCTTAACCCTTTGAAAAATAAAATATCTAAGAAAAACTGACTATACACAGCAATTTCAGAAGAACTACTGATACATAATTATGTGTTACTTGACCAAACATTTCTATTAGGAATTCTTCAAAGTAATTTAAAACAATGTACAAAGTCACACCAAATTGCAACTAGCACATGGAGTAAATTTTCAAGAAAGCGCAACGCTGGGTTTCAGCGGTAAAATTCTACTTAATACAACCAGATGTGCAGGGATAAATCTCTAAAAAAAATTACTGGATGCACTTCTAAATGTGGATGGAATTCAAGATGAATTTTAAAATTTGCTTTAAATAGTGGTTATACCTTATTCACAGGAATATAAAAATAACACTTTCTTAGCTTTAGCAAATGTCTATTTATTCTAAGTCTATATAACCTTAATTTACTAATTTCAAAAACAAAGTCATTTTATTATTTCAGTAAATTCTGCATAAGCACAGATTTTAACATGCATAGAGATTATTAAAAGGTGGGAGGATCTTACTTGAAAACATCAAATTATTTTGTATTTATTAATTACTAGCATTAAGACATCTATCTGTATACTCACATATATACTATACTATTTACATTGCTATCAAACCTGTTTTATCTGTTAAAAGTAAGTATTCTTTCTTTTTTAAATATTTGTAAAACCTGAACACATGTTGATAAATCAACTGAGGTCCTAAGGTACAAATCCTATGCTTTACTACCCTAATTCATGCACCTAAAAAACAAATAATTCCAATTTAGTAATGTCCCAATTTAAGATTAACTGTTGATTAAATAAGCAAAACTATACACACAAAACAGTGCAGAAAGACTATACCAACAAAAAAGGGTATTTAACCTAGGCCAAAAGTTGATTACTTAAAGTCATTCACTCTTGGCTTAAAAATAGTTGTCAGTAGGATATCTGACTCTCACTGCCTCTCACAACATAATGAACTATTTTAAGTATTAAGTCTAACTAAAAGCACAATACTTATTATTATTACCATTAAAGATAATCTAAAAGATAATCTAAAGATAATCTAAAAATCTAATTTCCAAGATAAAATTCTACCAAATATATCCTCCAAATACTATCAGAATATATAAAAGCTTAAAGCAAATAAGCACTTGGCATTTATCCCGAACTGTACTCATCAAAGACAACTGAGAGGAAAACAATTCTCTCATGCACCCTAACCTCAGAATCTATTTAGAAACAAGCAATCTCTGAACATTTGTCAGTCAAAAATTCAAGCAAAGAAATACACACGCAAGTAAATATTATACAGTTTCTCAAGTATCCATTCCCCACATAGGCAACTAAAAGTGTTTTGTTTTTAAATCAATGTTATTTTCTATAATAAGTAACTATCATAAAAGTGAAAAGTCTCTTCTTGTTCTCTACCCCCAGAATGTTATAAGAAATTTACTTATTTTCCTTGATGATTATGTATGCCTAAAATTCTAAGGGAGAAGATTGAAAATTAGAAGTTATCAGTTGGTCTTTATGTGAGTTGCAGACTTGGGAGAAAACTGCAAAAAAGTTACACTGAGATCAAAAACGTGCTCCTAAATAAGAATCTCACCACTGTTGTAGTGTTTCGGGAACAAAATGTACCCAATCAGTTTATAAACACCAATTGAAACTAGCACTGAGCTTCATGAAACTGTGTACTAATTTAGGGTGAAAACTTATGTTATGTTAAGGATGAGTTCTACTAATCATCTCCCAATATAATTTGCAATGCAATGTTATGAACTCTTAATGGAATACCATTTACAAAGAACTGGAAAACCAGCTCACAAGTTAAAGTGGAAGAGATTTAACAAAACAAAACAAAACAAAACAAAAAAAAAGGGACAAAATAAAGAAAAAGAAATGAAATTAAAGTAAAACAATAAAAAACAGAGACAGGGCGTCCATCTTCTGCGGTTCAGACTCCGATCTCATTTCCCCAATGAAGGTTTCACTTGACGGCAGGTTTAGTGGCATGGCAAACAATGCCTAACTCAGGCAAGTGTAACAGGTCTGCCTTGGCCAGTCTAGTCATCTAATAATGCACAAATATCACATAGAGAAAACATACAAAACCAAATTAATAGTCAAAATCCATCTACCAGAAAATGTGGACATAAACTTATGACTGATGATTAGGCTGACACCCTATCTTTGACCTTATCTTTTTCTAAGTGTTAACATTTATAAAAAGAAATCTGAGATGCACGCAACAACAAAAAGAGGTCATAGCTGGACGAATATAATGAAAGTATAACATTTTATTTTGAAGTGGCATGTTTTATTAACAATAGCTAATGCTTAATATGTATGAAACTATTACACATCCAACATTATTTAAACAGCTTAGGATCTTCTCACGATACTACCGTCTGAATTAAAAACAAACAAAAAAACCCAGCAAATTGAAAGAAACTGAAAAAAAAAGTCTTACAACTTTTTTCTATGGTTCTTTCACTTCTTTCATAATGCCGTTTCTGTAGTATCAAGGAAAGAATACAATCAGTGAAGTAAACAGAAGACTGCTTACAGCAACGCAGTACATCTCCTCTTACAGAACTTACTCCACTGGAACTCTTTCCTTTGATTTACTTCAAATTTACTTCCCTATCTTTTTTAATACAATACATTATTACTTTGCTTGCAGTGCATAATCAGATCTTTTAATAGCTCACTGTGACACTCTTCAGGTTCTATGAATTCATCTCTGTTGTACTAGTTCAATGAAAAATGTGTATCTGAATGTTTTTCCAATACCAATTATTTTATAGGTTCGTGTTCTAAACTACAACTAGAATAAAAATATGAATTTTCATGTTCAAAAATAGCAAAATTTTGTCTCAAAATGTTAATACTAAAAATATTCAAGTCATTACAATAAATATGCAGTTAATTCTATCAAGTAAAACAGACAAAAAAAGGAACCTCTATATGCCCATAATCTTGAACATTTATAACAAACAATGGTCATTTTTCAAATATCTGAATCATACTATGGGAATATAGCAAGGTTCCAGCAGAGCCGCACTAACAAAATCCTTCCTTCCAGTTTAATAGTAAGCTAAAATCACACAAGGTCTGTGCTGCTGGTGGCATAGTTTTTGATACAATTAATATTCCCATTAATAAACCTTCTACTTATTTTTTTCCCATGCAGTTTACTCGGTATAAAATTGGTATGAACTTCGTATGCAAACTAAACCATTACCAGCTCTTTTCTCACCTTGTTCTCCAATTTTAGGGTCGTTGTACGCTTACAGATTAATAGATAAGAATAGATTTAAGCAAATGATTAACTTCAGTTCATTTTTATTCTCCCTACCCCACTATAATCCCCAGGCATGGGAAAAACACTTTCAAATTTATCTGAAAATCTCCAGAAGGTCCTACTCTGGGACTTCAAAAATAATATCACTGTATCTGACTGTAATGTTTTTGACATCCCAGAACAGGCATTCTGAAATATGCAAAAAAACTTGAAAGTGCAGCAAACTGTTTACTATACACTATTTTAATGTTAGCCTGGTTTCTAAAAATGGTTTTAAAACATTACATATGGAAACTCATTAGACTGTTTCAGGTAAAAATTTTATGTTGTAAAACCGTTACAAACCACCAGTGAAAATATATTTTAAAGACATTTAAATTGTAATAACCAATTATAAAATCCATGTACATATGCTACAATCAGTGCTCTGAATAAAAGTTAATTACACACCAGACTTTCAAATTCAGCACAGCCTATTATATGTTAGTGGCTCTGTAAACATAAATTACTAAAATTAAAAAAAAAGCATTAATAATAATTAGCTCTTAAAGCAGGTTAAGTCATAAATTAATGAATTACTATAAGGCCTTTGGCCTTGTTACCCCCTCAAACAACTATTTCCTTGATGGACACTTTGGAAAATTGTTTTCCATTGTTTTTCTTTAATTGTCATCACCACCCCCAACCCTAGCTCCACCCTCCAACCCACCAGCAAAAGAAGTCAGTAAAATAAATTTCAGTTGCACAGCAAACAGTTACAGTGAATAAGAAATAATGGTTTCATTAAAAAGGTAAATTACCTTAAGAAGATACTGTAAACCTTAAAATATGAATATTTTTCTTTAACATAATTACCACATAACCCCCACTTAGCAAAATGTGTACACTGTTTTTATTTATGAAATTTCATTAATATTGTATACACAAGGGCAAAGGATCACTTATTTACACATTTTAAATAATTTCCTCTACCAATTTAATTTCAGAAAGCTTGCTTTAAACTTGCAAATTAAATACAATAAAGCAAAGTAAACCAAAGAAGGTAAGCAATTAAAAAAAGTTTTAATGTCTAACTATAACATCTCAAATATACATAATAACCATTTTAATATATTTTATTATTAGGTAAAATTCTTTCCATCTCCAAATTTCATTCTTACACACAACATACCATTTCTACTTGCCAATTTCTAGGAAAGCCAGTGGTAGTAATGGACAGGACAGAGATTAAAATAACTTAAAAAATCATATGAGATACCAACCTTCCGCACAAGGAACAACTATCAGAGCTCTGTCAATAAAAACCGTGTTAGTTAGATGCTGGGCCACACCAACACTTGATGGATCACGAAACTTAACATAACATACTTTGGAAGAAAAAGCAAGAGGTGCGTTGCTGCAAGATAAAAAGAAAAACAATTGGACTAATAAACATTAGGTTGGTTTTGTCATTTTCACTTACCATTTCTTTTTTAGATCTTTACATAATCTTATATAATCAAGACAGGAATTTCTGCTAAGGCATGAAATACCAGAACATAGTCTTTTAGATCTTTACATAATCAAGACAGGAATTTTTGTTGCTAAGACATGAAATACCAGAACTTAGTCTTTTGACGGTCATTTGCTGAAAAGACTAAAGAGAAATCTAGACAGGCCTATAGCCCTGCTTGTTAAAAATCTGAAACTTTACACATTCTTAATTTCAGTGAAATGAGAAAATAGCTGACTTAACCCACGGATGTTTACTTGGTACATCCACCTCAGTCGGCAAAATCTCTTTCATAAAAATAGCCCCAACTCTCAAGACTTCAAATTTTTAACTACGTCCAACCCTCCTTAATGTGATTCCTGACATTTAAATTATTAAAAACTTCACAAACATCTGAAAACAATCAGGTAACCTGGAATTAAAATTAAATTCTTCTACATATACTAGACTACTTCAGACTAGGCAGCATTGTGGTTTTCCAGACAAACAATTTTACAAACAAAATTTATATATTTTATAGGCAAAAGAGAAAAGATTCTTACAAGTCCTACTAGATTTAATCTAGGCAAGACTACATTAAAAAGAAGCCAGACACAGCACAGATGAAAGCAATTTTTCCATAATGTGAATCCATCATGTTATACTATATCCTCATAAAGAATCATTTTCTCAATCTACCCGTAACTGTGTTCAATTAAAATCTGTAATTGTCTCTAGCAAGTGAAAAAAGGCACAACCTAGATACACAGCTAATGTTTAACATAAATGTACAATCCTTGAAAACATTCAATCTGTCACACTAAAAGAGTAAGATCATTTGAAAAATACCAAATATGACTTGGGCAATAACAGTAATTTACTTTAGTTGACAAAACAGGTCAACGAAGTTGACCACAATCTAGACCTAGTAAAAGGCAAAGATGATATTTAAAGTCTAATTATCTAATTCCAAATCTCATGTAACCTTAATCATTCAGTTAATCAAGAACTTTAAAGCCACTTTAATGTACTATCTAATTTTTAATTCCATAAATATCCATCACTTATTAAAATTAAAAACTTAAATACAGCAAAAAATCCACCTTGATAATGGCTAAATGTAGTTACAATATTAACCAAACACTGAGATAAAATATATCTGCACTTAGAACTTGAAACTATATGTTGATATATTATTATTAATGTAACTTAATCAGGCTAATTAAAGCAGCTAAAATGAAAATAAAACTCTACCTCTTTTTCACCCAACTGAATTCAATTCTTTCCGGCCTAAGGTCATCCAATTCAAGCTTCAAGCCAGTCCTTTTCAACCTCCCCCTACTGAACATATAAGTGAAGCACTGTATGTATTTGTCATGAGATAAACACATCTGCGGGCTTCCCTGGTGGTGCAGTGGTAAAAAACCTGCCTGCAGGAGATGTGGGTTGCATCCGAGTTGGGAAGATACCTGGAGAAGGAAATGACAACCTACTCCAGTATTTTCGCCTGGGAAATCCCGTGGGCAGAGAAACAAGCTGGGCTACAGTCCATGAGGTCAAGAGTCGGAGGTGACTTAGCGAATAAACAGCAACAACAAATACATCTGCATCCAGACTTAACTCACCTTTGTATTACCAAATCACCAATTTAGGCCTTTCTAAGAGCTCTAAATTCCTATATCTAAGTGCCTGCTGGAATACTTCATGGTAATGGTCACAGGGCCCACCACTGAACTTATTCTTAACTTCATCATCTTCCTTCTATACCAATCCAGCACTTTGTCCTAATTTCATATCTCAGTTAAGGATACTACCACATCGCCTAAGTTAGAAATCTGGGAGTTACTAATGTGACCATCATTACTACTGTTCACCAAATATTTCCAAATTTCCTTCTGGCTACATAATAAAATTCTATTTCTTTTTTTCCTTGAAGTTAGGTATGGCTGCGCAATTTGGTCAAGTAAATATGAGCAGAACTGAAATGTATTCCTATTCAGGAGCTTTAAGGGTCATTGCTCCCTTCTGTCCCTCTGCCACAGTGACCAGCAACATCAAAGAGATGGGTGGCTGATACATCAGCTTCATCACCAACCCCATCAATTTAGTGTAAGAAATAATCTTGTTTTTATTAAACTACTGAGATTTATGGGTTGTTTCCATCCTTGATCCTTCTTCCTTCTTTTTCATCCAATTGGTCTTTATATCCTATGAAAATGGCCTCCCAAGTATTTGTCACATTAATTCTTAAAATTCAACATTCCAAGAACTAAGATCATGGTTTCCAGTCCCATCACTTTCTGGCAAATAGATAGGGAAACAATGTAAACAGTGACAGACTATTTTCTTGGACTCCAGAATCACTGTGGACAGTGACTTGCAGCCATGAAATTAAAAGACACTTGCTTCCTGGAAGAAAAGCTATGACAAATCCAGACAGCATATCAAAAAGCAGAGACATCACTTTGCTGACAAACATTCGTCTAGTCAAAACTATGGTTTTTTTCCAGTAGATCGTGTACAGATGTGAGAGTTGGATCATAAAGAAGGCTGAGCGCCGAAGAACTGATGCTTTCCAACTGTGGTGCTGGAGAAGATGCTTGAGAGTCCCCTGGACAGCAAGGAGATCAAACCAGTCAATCCTAAAGGAAATTAACTCTGAATATTCTTTGGAAGGACTGATGCTGACGTTCCAATACTTTGGCCACCTGATGCGAAGAGCCGACTCATTGGAAAAGACCCTGATGCTGGGAAAGATTGAGGGCAGGAGACAAAGGGGGGCGACAAAGGATGAGATGGTTAGATGGCATCACAGACTTAACAGACATGAATTTGAGCAAATTCTGGGAGATAGTGAAGGACAGGGAAGCCTGTTGGGCTGCAGTCCATGGGAATGCCAAGAGTCAGACACGTCTGAGGGACAAAACAACAAATTCTTTCAGTACTCTCATTATCAAGGCCTTCATTCAAGTCCTTATCATTTCTCACTGGAATTACTGTAATGGCTCCTAACCAATCACACTGCCTCCAATCTCAACTCTTTATTTAACAATCTTCCACAAAAGCTGTTAGGATAATCTTTCTAAACCCTAAATTTCTTCATGTCATGCTTAAATCTCCTCAGAGACATCCTTCTCTTCTTGCCTCATCATTTAAAAAATCCAGGCATTAAAAATACTTGCTGTTCCCAGGACACATTCTGAACCAACAGAGTCATCTTTGTACATGTTGTTTCATTTGGCTATGATGTGCTCTTACTTCCCTTCCACTTTTCTTCAAGGCTCAAGTTTCTAAGTCTTCTGGGAAGTCATTTCAAAACATCAAGCTAACTAAGTACCCTCTTACATGTGCTACCAAGACATCCTATCTATTTTCAGCAGTTCCCTTGTGTGAAGCCCCGAACACACCTAGCAAGCTTTAAGCCACAACTGATCAATCACATGACACAGGGGCCCATTTCACTGGTGAACCCAAACCTGTAATTTGGGAGGCCTGACCAAATGGACCTGAACAACCATTCTCTCCCGGGCTGGAAAGTCATTTAGAGTGAGGGTTTGGGCCAGGTGCCAGATGAGTGAGTACAGAATAGGTCTGCAGAGAAACTGAGCAGATAAACAGAAACAAACCGAGCTGACAATAAATCCTGACAGGAAGAAGCAGAGTCACCTTGGATGCTGGTACCCTTCTGGTTCCCAGTCCCAGTTTCCATGAGGCCTAGTCTATATTTTACTACTTAGGGAAATCTTCATCTTCTTAACAATGTATGTCTCTTCCCGAGCCAGATTAGTAACATCTTCTGTCCTTGGCACCCCCCCCCCAAAAAAAAAAAATCTATGACAAGGAGCTAAGAAGGCCCTAGCAATTGCAACAAGTATAATCTCTTTTAGCACTTGAAGAAACTAACAAGCTACCACTGAAACTATACTTCCTAAATTGACAGATCCTTCTGTAAAAGAATGGAAACCCAAATCATCACTGTTGTAAACTACAAACATTTCCAAATACCCCTACTTGAAACTCGCATCATTTCAAATTTAAAACGCCCACAGGAATAAGAAATGTGGGACTGGTTAGTAAACCATATGCTATGGAGGTTTCAGAAGCCCAAACTTGGTTACAAGAGGCCAGTCTGTTCTGAGCAGCATCACCATCAAAGAATGGATCCTAGCGCTAAAAGCAGTTTTCTTCACGATCTCCAACTACCTTTCTCAAATGGAGAGTAAGATCAACACAGTATCTGCTTTATAAAAATGTAAACACACAAGCTTTTCAGGAGTAGTAGCACCACTACTTTATTTTGAACATTATAAGCTAAAAAGACACAGCGTGTGTTCAAGCTCAATAGTTTGGAGTCACGTCTGACCCTGTGACCCTGTGGACCATAGCTCACCAGGCTCCTCCGTCCATGGGGCTCTCCAAGCAAGAACACTGGAGTGGGTTAACATGCCCTCCTCCGCGGATCTTCCCAACCCCAGGGAACCAACCTGAGTCTTCTCGGTCACCTGCATTGCAGGCAGATTCTCTACCGACCGAGCCACCTGCGAAGCCACAAAATGATACGGTGGCAAGCCTAAACACAGATATCTCAGCAAACAACTTTGTATCTATATTTATAAATGAATGTATTTCCAAACAGAGAAGGCAATGGCACCCCACTCCAGTACTCTTGCCTAGAAAATCCCATGGACGGAGGAGCCTGGTGGGCTGCAGTATATGGGGTCGCCCGAAGAGTCGGACACGACTAAGCAACTTCACTCTCGCTTTTCACTTTCACGCATTGGAGAAGGAAATGGCAACCCACTCCAGTGTTCTTGCCTGGAGAATCCCAGGGACGGCGGAGCCTGGTGGGCCGCCGTCTATGGGATCACACAGAGTCGGACACGACTGAAGTGACTTAGCAGCAGCAGCATATTTCCAAATCTCATATTTAGATCTTCCTTTCTAGTATATCTATGCTGTTAAGTAAAGTTTACTTTGTAAAAAATTAAATACGAGTATCATTACAAATGTAATTCTGACCTACAGTTTTAATTTTGAAAAGGGGTTACATATGATACTGGTTTAATATTTCTCTAAAGATATTTCTCTAAAGAAAGTAACAGTACTTAAATATAGCAGATTTTATATTGACCTCATTTGTTAAATCAAGTTTTGTTTTTTTATAAAAGTTCTACAATTACTTTTCAAAAAAATAATCAGAATTTTTCACTGAGAGTTTAATGCAAAAATCACAGAACCAACTTTTTGAGCATCAGTTAAATTTCTTGGACCCTAACTGGTTATCTGGGCTTCCCAGGTGGCGCAGTGGTAAAAAATCTGCTTGCCAATGCAGGAGCCACAGCAGACTCAGGTTCAATCCCTGGGTCAAGAATATCCCCTGGAGTAGGAAATGGCAACACACTCCACTATCCTTGCCTGGAAAACTTCATGGACCGAGGTGGGGTAACAGTCCATGGGATGGACGTGACTAAGCATGCACACACATAACTGGTTACCTAATTTTTCATTAAACGTGGTGATAGCACTGTACAATCTTTAAAAAAAAAACTCAATGTGGTAACACTATGATTTTCCAATACTTTATCATATTTCTAGACATCCTATGAGAATCTATCAAAAAAGATATAATGCAAAGCATGGACAAAGTATGTAGTTTTATGTATGAAAATATTAACTGATACATAATAATTTCTCAACAGGTCTCCAGTGATACTTTGGATGGCACAATTCTGCTTTCTATAAGACTTCCTTATGATTTACTGACACCCACTAAATGCCAGAGGCCCTCCAATCACTGTGGACAATCACATTTTCAAATACTTTTAGCTAAAACCCAATGACAATTTCAAACACACACATATACACTTGAGACTTTAAATATTACAATAAATAAAACACAGCAATATGAAAAATGCGTACTATGAGCTGATTAAAAAAAGTTGACAGTAACAGCGTATATATTCTTCTGACTACACGAGATTAAGATAAGGGCTTCGCTGATAGCTCAGTCGGTAAAGAATCCGCCTGCAATGCAAGAGACCGCGATTCAATTCCTGGGTCAGGAAGATCCACTGGAGAAGGCATAGGCTGCCCACTCCAGGGTTCCTGGGCTTCCCTGGTGGCTCAGCTGGTAAACAATCCACCTGCAATGCAGGAGACCTGGGTTTGATCCCTGGGTTGTGAAGATCCCCTGGAGAAGGGAAAGGCTACCCACTCCAGTATTCTGGCCTGGAGAATTCCATGGACTGGGACTGTATAGTCCATGGGGTCACAAAGAGTCGGACAAGATTGAGTGACTTTCACTCAACTCATTCATATTAAGATAAATGCATATAAAAAGGACTGAAGGGAAACATATGGAAATGGAAAAAGGCTTTCATAGGGCCCTAGGGTCACTGGCAGTGTTTCATTGTCTCTATTTTTCATAATGTGACTATACAGGTTATACTTTTAGCTAATTGACAGCTTTTACCTTATCAGTGCTTTTTAAGACCAGAGACGTAAAGAAAACCCGCAAGCCAAAAAAAAATCAACACGGGGTTGATGGTAGAAATGAGGCTAGGATTACCCTACAGGTATTATGCACTTGAGTGGGCAAAGGAGAACTTCTAGGGCGCAGAGAATCCTATCCACGTGCTGGATGTGTTCACTTTGTGAACATTCATCAAGCTGTATACCCTTATCCATGCACTTTTCTACACATTATACCTCTATAAAGAGCTTACTGAAAAAAAGACAAAAATGTATTACCATTGTAAGTAGGTTTTCAAGATGTGTGAGATTCATTTAGTACTAAACAGTACTAAACTGTACTAAAATAGAAAGTCTGGATATTTGTCATCTAGCAGCACAAGTAAGAATTTTTAATATTTACAATGAATGCCTACTCCAATTCTTAAATGTTTAAATAGAAATTGAATTACGGCCTCATGCCAAAAAAAAAAATTTAATTTAAAATCTGAATTTTCATATTAGCAATTGCATCCTTAAAATGTAAATGAGAAACTATTCTCACATTCTATTAAAGAAATATAGTTCCAAATTTAAAACAAATCAATTTCTACTAAGCTTCCAAAGATTAATCATAAAATAGTTTCCACAACACTGAAAAAAGAATTCTGTCTTCAAAACACCTACTACTATTGCATACTTATACATTTCAGCCCAAATTTGCAAACAGAATGTAAGGACCAGATTATGACAACTTAACTATAGAGCAAACAGAAAACACACTACTAGAAAAGCATGTTAATACTTGTGAAAAACAGGAATAGGAACTGCAAATATAGAATAACTGGTCAAAGATTTTGCCTGGCCTAGATGTATTACATTTATGCTACAATTTTGCAAAATGCATTACAGTTGGTGACACAGTAACTCTGTATCAATGCACTGTTTAAGTAACCAGTTTTTTTATTCCCTTACACTTTTAAACTCCAAGCAACTAACATCTGATTTCAAAAAATAGCCCATTTTACTAAATGTCAGTTAACTGGCAGCATACTGCCACCCAAACACATTTTTCAACCATGTGAGTGGCGTCATGTTCGCAATGAAGAATATTCTGTGATGTATTTCTTCTGCCCATAAGACACATTATCACAACCCTGAAAGCAAGGTTAGTTTACAAAGGTGTATGTACAAAATATTTTACTATTTGATTCCAATTCATTCAGAATACAGCAACCCTCCAAACAGTTCTCAATTTTTCAGAAATGTCTTGAGTGTCTAAATGAAGAGAAAGCTTAAAGCACTTTCAAAAGTTATATAAGATAGCCAAAGCTATATATGTGATGACGAATCAATAAAGATGCATGTGCACCCACTTATGAACTATTTTTGGCAAAACTGTATTACTGAATCTATTCAGGTGGAAACAATTTATATAGCCAAGATGAGTCATTTTACAACACAAACTACAAGACCAAATATCAATTTCATGAAAAACTTTCAAAAAGATGATTGGGGGGAAAAAAGGGGTGTGAGGGGGCAGAGGGGGAATAGTCCTAAATTAAAGAAAACAATCAAACCTACTGAGTAATCTCTGATTATTTCTAGATCAGAAAAAGGAAATGGAGAAAAGGCGTTGGTTGACAGACTAACTGAAAAAATTTAGATGTTATATATTGTCAATGTCAAATTTCTTGGCTGCATTAACAGGACTGTGGTAAAGCAGGAGATGTACATAAGAGATCCACATTTAAGTGTTGAGGAGTGAATAGTCAAGGGATGTGGGTTGATGGGTGTGTGTGTACAGAGGTGGGGAGAGGGAGACAGAAATCTGTGGCTAACTATAAATCCAAATTAAGGGAACATGGGAGTTATTCTTTCAGCATTTCTGTATGCATGAAATACTCTGAAACAAAAATGAGAAGAAAAATTTAAGTAAAATTTAAAAATCCAAACACCAACTTTTATCACTGTCTGTGCAGTAGCAATGCGGTATAGTTAGAAAACTAAAGAAAAATAGATCTACACGCATCACTATGAAATACCCCAAAAAATCAAACACAATTTTTTTAAAAAGAGAAATCTTAGGCAACTACTAGCCCTTTCTTCAAAAGATTTTGACAAAATGAACAAAACACTGAGAAATTTTCATATTCTGGACACTAGTTTTTAAAAGTTTATGCCCGTAAGAAAATAAACAACCCAGAAACCTCTTACAAATTTTGTGAGCTGATACTATCGTACAAGGGAAATCTTACTTCAAAGTACACTACCTGGGAAGTGTCTGAGAACAGGGAATGCCATCCCAAATCTGGACTTCTAGAAGTATACAGCAGGAATAATCCTGCACAGATTACTGTTTTTTCTGAAAGGTTTAGGGCAGTGTGACCTTCTAGGAGGAAATTTTAATCCGATGCCAAAAGGGTGAACAGACATGAATCTTTAACAACATGGATGGGCTCGGTTAGATTAACCTCTGAAGATGCTATATTTGTGAACACAGGCCTAGGGACCCTAATTCTATTTGTCATCAGCCGCAGGCTTCCCTGTCGGCAACAACGGCCCGACACTGAGGCCCTAAGAATCGGACAGCTTCTCAGGCGCAGTCTCCGCGATTTTCCATTGCAAAAACCCCATCAGGCGCTTGCCATGAGGACTATTCCGGGCCCACCTGCGGCCATCTTAAGTTAGGGAAAAAAACGGGAGGAGCCGGGCACTGAATTCGAGGACCAGGCGACGACCACTGGCCGGGGGGCACGAAAAGGCAACCCCTCTAATCCTTTGTAAGGATTCTGTGCAAAGAATCCCCCCGAAATGTCGACTAACAAGGAAAACAGAAGCCGGGGGCTGGGGCCGCGCTGCCCCAATCAAACATGGGCACCAAGGTAAACCCGGTGGTCACGTGACGAGGACAGCGCGCCCCCGTCCGCGCTCTCCCCCACGCCTGGGTTCCCGAGGTCTCGCTCGGGCCCGCGCCCCTCCCCCAGTCGAGCTCGAGCACTTACTCGGGCGGGTAGAGCCGCAGCTCCTCGATTTCTCCTAGGAAGGAAAAAAGCGTCCGCATCTGCTCGCTCGTCACCGCAGAGGACAGATTTGTCACCTGAATCACCGCCGTAGGGGTGAGGCCGAAGCCTAAGCCCAAGCCGAAGCCGCCGGCGCTGTTCATCCTGATCCGCGCTGCCGCTGCCTCCCTCCCCAACGTCTACAACGCGTCAGCGACGGAGCCGGGAAAGCGGAGATCGCGCGGCCGCGAGCGCGCTCCCGCTGGCGAATTCACGGCAACGGGCAGGTCTAGCCGCCCATTTCACAACTCCCCTGCTCTCCGGGCTGCGCGCGCCAGCCGGAAGCGTCGCCCTGGCAACCCAGCAGATCTCGCGAGGCTGCAGCCTGGAGCTCCCGGGTGTGTAAGGCTCTTGGTCCTGCTGCACTTCTCCCCGCCAAGATTTTGATTGAGGGTTTCCCTGACTACGACTCCATCAAATTCTTGTTCTCCTGTAAATACAAGAGACCCACCTCTATCCAGTCTTTATAGTAGCTAAGACTGGGAAGTCAAGAGGCCTGCTGGTGCAAAGCTGTTAAGAAGGAATGACTTGAGCATCGCAGATAAATACTTGGCTGAACTATAACGTGTCAGTATCATATTCACGCAGCTCCTCCTCCCCACCTAAAAAAACCAAGTTGACCGGCGTCCTATTCATGAAAAAACTTAGAAAATTTTACGAAACATGTAAATTTAGACGGAATTAAGGAAGAAAGCAGTATGATGAAGGCTATGCAGTTGTTTGTAACATTTTTTAGTTCATTCCGCAGGTATTAATATTTGAGTGTTAAGTACCGGACAGACACGAACACATTAAGGACAGTTACAGACGATCCATCCAGACTTTGCAACCTAACGAGACACAAGTAACAGTAATATGTGAAAATAGGGCAGCTGTTCCCAAAATGCCATCCGCAAAACCTGGAAGGTCCCCAGGGGCCTTTTCAGTGAAGTTGTAAGGTCAAAACCATTTTCACAATATAAAGGCTTGATTTTCTTCACTTTGTTGAGGATTGCACTGCTGGTGTGAAGCCAACACCTTAGCAGAAATCAAGGCAGTGTTGTCAAGCTGCGCAACTGCAGTGAGTCCGTCTATATATGAGCTTTTGAGTTACAAACTTTGAAAGATGCCAAGTGTCCGTGTATGCCAGCTATACTGGCACTTTAGAAGGTACTGTACTGTAAGATTTGAAATGTTTATTTTTTATTAGTTTTTATGTATTATTTGTGCATAAAGTATTATAAACCTCTTACAGTACAGTGCTATATAGTCAATTGCATTAGTTGGGTACCTAGGCTAACTTTGCTGGACTTATAAACAAATTGGACTTAAACGCTGTTAGAACAGAACTTGTTCTTAACTGGGGGACTTACTGTAGTGGTATTTTGTATTCACCTCCTTGCACTCTTAGCATACACAATATATGATTTTTTTTTTTTTAATAAGCTAGTTTAATTTAAGGATGTCCTTGACAGACTTTCTGGTGGTCCAGTGGTTAAGAATCCGCCTACCAATGCAGGGGACATGGGTCCCTGGTGGGGAAGAGTCCACATGCTGTGGGGCAATAAAGCATTAACGCCAAAACTGCTGAGCCTGCGCACCCTAGAGCTCACGCTCTGCAAGAAGAAAAGCTGCCACAGTGTGAAACTCCTGCACCCAAACTGCAGAATAGCCCGTTTGCCGCAGCTGGAGAAAGCCTACGCACAGCAATGAAGACAGTGCAGGCAAAAATAAATAAATAATTGTCCTTGACAAAGGAGTAAAAATTATTAATTTTACTAAATCTTCACCCTAGCATACACCTATTTTCTTTTTATAAAATCCTTTTTTTTTAATTTCATTTTTTTTTGGGGGGGGGTGGGGCCTCACTGCACAGCATGTAGGATCTTAGTTCCTCAACCAGGAATCAGATCCACCTACCCCCTTCACTGGAAGCCCTGAGTCTTAACCACTGGACCGACAGGGAAGTCCCCCATCTCTTTTTAATATGTGAAGAATTGGGAAGTACTTCTGCTGCATGCCCAAGTAGGATGGACATCTCCAGAAAATGCTCTTGTGTGATTGTTGGAGTTTTCACTCAAAAATGCAAATTTTAAAAAATTTGTATCCACCATCTGGAGCTTGACAGCTTTCCAGTATTTAAACTTTTCTGCTAAAAACACCAGTGATATTAACAAATGTGTTTTTTCACATTATATAGTGATTATAATTGACCATTTGAAAATCTCTATAGCCCAATAAAGCAGTTTTCAACAGAACCAATACATGCTATTACAAAATTAAAAAGAGTTATCAAAGTGGAAGATGGACCCATGGATTTTACTGTAACAGAATACAGAAAGTTAATTGATATGGTTTCGGATTCAATCCACATTGTAATTGCACTCTAGGAAACAATCACATGTCCAGTTTGGGATAGTTATCAAACAAGATATCTCGTATCATCTAGAAAGACAATGAAAATAGTTTCCCCTTTTCCAATGACTTATCTGTGTGAGACCAGATTTTCTTCATATGTTTCAACCAAAACATATCACACAGATTGAATGCACAAACAGATAGGGAAATCCAGCTGTCTTCTATTAAGCCAGACATCAAAGAGCTTTGAAAAATGTAAAGCAATGCCACTCTTCCCAAAATTCTTTTTGGAAAATATCACTTTACCATAAAAATGCATAATTTAGCCCCACAGCCATTCGGGAGCAGGCTAAAAAATTTATCATTTATATAAGTACATAATGGGTTTATAATTATTTTTAAATGGGGTTTTAAATATTAAATTTTACAGATTTAATTTCTCATATAAATATGTACAGATACCCCATAAATCTTTTAGGGTCTTCAATAATTTTTAAGAGTATAAAGGGGTCCTAACACCAAAATGTTTGAGAACTACCACCAGAGGGATAAACACAGGGAGAGATGGGCGCATCCACGAAGGCAGCTTGAACTCAGTGCCAATGGAAGTCTCCCCAGAGAGATGCTGCTTGCACCTAATCTTGAACAAATAGGAATTAGCCAGGCAAGGAGGGAGGGAGGAGCAGTGATGGACTCTAAACTGAGGTGAAGAATATGCAAAAATAGAAAGATATGAGAGCCAGGTGAGGTCCACAATATTCAAGGTTTAGTATTGCTGTCCAAAGGCTGAAGAATGACTAGAGATACATATGAAAGAACAAGCCTTCAGGAAAGATGCTGTTTGTCATGCCGAGAGGGTCCTTTATCACTAGTTGTTGGGAGCCACTGAAGATGTTTGAACAAAAGTGTGAATATATCAGATTCCTAGAGCAATTGCCATCACTTCGAAATGGAGATATGTTGAAAAAGATGGAAATGAGATAAAAGGGACTGGTTCAAAGGGCAATAAAAGCCATTGATTCAGAAAAATATATATGTACATACACTTGGTTTTAGATACAATTACAAGTGCTTTTTGATCTTCCTTAAGCCCAACAATGGATCCCAGGATTAACCACCACTTGTTAAGAACACTGGTCCTCAGACTTTCATGTGCATCAAAATCACCTGAAGGGCATGTTAAAACAGACTGATGGGGACTCCCCCTGTTGGTCCAGTGGCTAAGACTCCGAGCTCTCAATGCTGGGGCCCTGAGTTTGATCCCTGGTTGGGGAACAAGATCACAACTAAGACCCTGTGCAGTCAAATAAATAAATAAAAATAAATATTAAAAAAAAAAAACAGACTGATGGTTCCATCCCCAGATATTCTGATTCAGTACATCAGGGGATTTGGGGGAGGTTGCTGAAAATTTTAATTTCAACAAGTTCCCTGGTGATGGGGCTGCCAGTGATCCAAGAACCCCATTTTGAGCACTACTGGTTTAGAAGGTTATAAAACATTATTTAGTAGATTTAGTAATCTACCATTGATGGTAAAGCAGAGGGAGGAATTTGTTTCTGGCCTGAGGGACTGTGTAATAGTGCCATAGTTTAGGACCAGAAATAAAAAGGAAGAGCAGATTTGTAGAGAAGAGGGAATACTGAAATCCATCATGGACAAGTTCCTGAAATGAAATTTAAGAAAAATGTCTAGAACAAAGATAAAGTGAAAAAGTGAAAGTGAAGTCAGTCGTGTTCGATGCTTTGTGACCCCATGAACTGTAGACCGCCAGGTTTCTCTGTCCATGGGATTTTCCAGGCAAGAATACTGGAATGGGTTGCCATTTCCTTCTCCAGGGGATCTTCCTGACCCAGGGATGAAACTCGGGTCTCCTGCATTGCAGGCAGACTCTTTACTGTCTGAGCTACCAAGTATGTGATTTAAAGTTGAAAGTAGATACAGTTAGCCAGGCAAGAGAAATGCATTGAGTAACATTAAAAGGACAAATACAACAACCAACCAAAACCAAAACCAAGCCAGGAGGAAAATTAGAAGGGAGGATAGTCACAAATGTTAAAGGAGGAAAAAGTTTTAATGGGAAAAAATGAAGAGAAGGGAGGAAAGAATGATTAAAAAGAGTCAAATTCTGCAGGGATGACAAAATCAGGAATAAAATGTGCCTATGTGTAGATATAATGTGACTACTAAGACAGAAACTACATGAACCAGTTTAGAGAAGCAAAGGTCACAGTGTCACTATTACTTCCTCTGATTCATCTATGAATCTCTCAAAAGGGTATATAGTTAACAGCTGCTTAAGTAGGTATTCAAAAAGAGAAGATACAGTTTAAGTCTTTCCCAATCCCTGTTTCTCAGCCACCTAGTTTCCCTTTCAAGGGAGAATAAGTTACATTGTTTATTTAACATTCCTCTTGGTCAGATACTTGGCTAGGTGCCTAATTGTTGTTGTTTAGTTGCCAAGTTGTGTCCAACTCTTTTGCAACTATGGATGCAGCCCTCCAGGCTCCTCTGTTCATGGGATATCCCAAGTCAGAATTCTGGAGTGGGTTGCGGGTTCCTCCTACAGTGATCAAACCCGCATCTCCTGCATTGACAGGCAGATTCTTTACATCTGAGTCACCAGGGAAGCCCTTAAGTTGCCTAATAGGTCGTAACAAAAAAAAAAATTTCAAAGTAACTACATCAAGGCTATGGCTTTTTCCAGTAGTCATGTATCGATGTGAGAGTTGAACTATAACTGAGTGCGGAAGAATTGATGCTTTTG